AGTTGCTGTGTGTAAATGGGTATGAATGCGCAGAGTGCTTGAAGGGTAGAGCAACACGACCCCAGCTGACCCTGCTCGCTCACGACCAGAACCATGTTGGATGGGGCAACGGAAAGTCAAGCGCATTTTAAAGGGACGCTTCTACACTTTCTATGAAGCTTGGTATTGCTGTCAGGGCTAGGTGTCTCTCCATGGAAACTCTTAATGGAGCGTTACACTACGCATTCAAACCGCAGTTTATTGTACCCCTGAGCTGGTTGTTTTATGGTAAATACATAGAGGCCCCATTGCACTGTGGATCCGGCGCCGCGCTTGTGCAAAAAGTAGAAGTGTATACGCAGGGGTAGCAAAACCCAGCCTTTTGAACATAAATGAAAGGTGTTCGAGTCATTGCAGGATCTGAGCATTCTCACAACTGCACGCATGAATCATCACACTGGAGGTAGTCCAGACTCTAAGCCAGATCGCTTTATCACTACGAAATTTTGGGGCTCAGTTGCTTGAAAGGCATTCGATCGTACATGCTAAGCTTTTAGCTTATCTGTCAGCATCACAGGGAATGCCGCATCATCCCAAAGCAGCCCCCAAAGTTGTGTTTTCCTATTTTGAGCACTATATAAGACATTGGGCTTACGGATTATGGACTTCTGTTGCTTTAATTTCAAGTCTGGAACTCGAGTGCCCTACCTGCTGATACGTCTCCCACAGATGCTGATTGCTAAAATCATCGTATTACGGCACGATGCCACGAGCTCAGTACTCCTGTATCCTTGATGCATAATGCAAGCCTGCTTCTCTCGTGACAGGGAGCAGGCCCCTCTTGCTTAAGAGGCTTGAAGCGGTTTCCGTAATAATACCTAGGATATTCTCAGTATCGTCATTTCAAGGCGATGTTACTCTGCACCTGTGCTGTGCGGCTAGTCTAGGGTAGTACAGATGCGAGTTCTCCATAGGCTTTGAGATAGCCTCTGAGAGCACCAAGTTAAAACACAAGAATAAGCAAAGTACTAGTATAGAGCAATCAAATGCATTCTGTGTTTGATTTATTTTAACTCATTGCAGTGTGTGTTTGTGCAATTCGCAGTAAGATGGTAGCCCTTGAGTATTTCTGCGGAACAAGCCTAGCAATGTAATTAAGCATGCTCGACCAAAGCTTTGAGGTATTACAAAAGCTATAAGTCAGAGCCAGCGTGCCGGATGTAAAAAACGCTCTTTATAATCACCAACTAGTAGAAGACCGGGGTCTGCAGGATCCTGAAGGCTCCCACAGTCACAGCTATGTACTACCAGTACTTAGCTATCGGTCGCTACCGCAGTGCAGTAGCACCAGGGCATTGGGAGCAGCAAACCCCCAACAGAATGCACTTTCTAGATAGCATATATCAGGCGCTCTATTGCTGAGCTGAAGCCTCTCAACAGGTAGGTCATACCTAGGAATTTCTGTGAAATCACCCGGTCAGTGGGCCGGCGCAAAGTAGGGCATTCCTAGTCTCTCACCTGTATGGCGGAAATGTGTCATCCTGTGGTTCCAGTCCCTTATCTATGCCTCATGCTGAAGTACTGCTGCATTCCTTCTATATGCCTGTTCTCATGCTTGTGAGGCAGCCCACGTGCAGTGAAATGCAAACATGCTTTACGTCTAATGGGGGTGTTGTCGTTAGTTGATGTGCAAGCCACATCATATTAAAGTCCATACCTTGAGCCTAGACAGGACTTTCCTGCTAGGCAAGCATCGGGGAAGCTAACTGAATTCATGCAAGTGTAAGGGATGAAGCCAGCAGCCATGCGGCTGCTCACTGAGCAGTTGCAGAAACCAGGGAATACCGAGGCGGGTTTGCTGGTGTATTGAAGGGGATTTCTATACAGAAGGAATTCAGAGACAATTATTGAGCTCAGAAGAGACAACAAGGGATTCTGAGGATGCAACGGAGCCATACTCCCCAGCTTCGTGCTGGTCCTGTATTGAATGTGGCAAGCTGAGGTCAAGCCGTTTCATGCCTGGGTATATCCAAAATAGGTCTGTCGAGCTTAAGCAGATGATTTTAAGCTGAAAAAACCTGACTTCATGATCTCGATTCTAGAATGCTTATACTTTTGAATACTGGATTCTGGCGAGTTCCCTTAGCTCCCCATTTGCTGCTTACTTGCTCCCAAAACATAAGAGACATTGCGAACTAACTCCTGCCTTACAGCATGCTGTTCAAACGCTACAAATCGTGATTTGGTAGACATTTGAAGGAGTATTCGAGCACGAGGGACCAACCTACAAGTTTTAATCGTGTGGGGCTTGCTGGAGATATTTTTCTGCGTAGCCCTAAGCGTCATGGGTCGCAAGCATTGCTCCCAGCAATACCTGCCTCTTGGGTTGGTTATGCTGAGCTGATCTTTTGGCCCCACTCCATACATACTTACAAATCCTAGTAAGCGTATATTCATGTCGGAAGGTCACAATGAAAGAAACTTTAGCAAACAGGTAAAAACAGTCAAACTGTTATAATAAGCGATCCCTTTCCATATTCCTTTGAACAAGCTCAGTCCGAAGGCTCACGATCATAAATCTACATTAGAGCCTGATTTTGCTGTATTGAAGCGAAGTAAGAAGAAACTATAGCTCGGCTACGCATACAAATTGCAGCTTGAACCGTGGTTGTAGTGTAAGCTTGCCGCGCTGTGCGTTGGAGTTGAGCCTCAGCGAGTTGTAGTTGTATCTGCTGCTTGAGCAGCAGATACAACTACAACCGGCGACCAGTGTGAATTGCCACTGCTAGGCACGTCTGAAAGCCGTTAGAATGGACGAAGTGACGTACGAGGCTCGGTTGCACCACGAATAGGAGGCACAACTCTAGGCAGGTAGCGTCTCCGCTACCCTGGTGAGTTACTTCACAGACCCCAGACGCCAACACAGCTACCCATTCTTAATATAACGATTATTAAAGAGCTCGAGTGATGTCCCCAGTTCCTTAAGATCGTAGGGTAGCAAGGTTGGTCAAAGGGGGCTAAGTGGGCGCTTCTCGGCTTTCCCAACTTTATTATCACCGTGTTCAAACTTCCTAATAACCCTTACAAAGTCTCTCTGGGTAATAGGAAATTCCCCTCCGCGTTTGACAGACCAGTGCAAACGCTCCACAAAGGGGCGCTTTGGATCAATGTGCTTCCACTCTTCGCGCTCGCTGGGTTGATGACCGCTCGCCTGCAATTTAGACGCCAGCATCAATATCTAGGGCTTCATTCCCAGAAGCATTTGTCACTTCCAGAAGATAGCTAATTCTATGCTTCATCAACACAAAAGACTCTATGCTCGTGCAAAACTGCCTCGGCATGAGCAGTTGCATTCCAGCCAAGCTGGCCTTTTGGGGTGATGCATTCCCATTGGCCCAGGAAACGGCAGGGCCTCTTCGACCACACACAGCTTACCGAAAAAGGTTTGTTGCGTCGTAATTCTTCGACCATAGCCATATTTAAGCTCAGTCTATAGCGGGCTAAACTACACCTTAGCACTTTTTACTGCACTAGTTGTTTTCAATTTAGAAATAAAAGCTAATTATCTGACTTTCTGTTTATATGTATACTTTGGTTATGTAGTCGCATACGGTCAATGCCATGCGAAACCCTTAGGGATTTCCGTCAGCTAGGTGCTGTGCACAACTAGCTATGAATACTCGGAGTGCTTAGAGGATGCATTTATGGACCCCCTGGCTGTCCCCTTCCTTTACGTCGAAACTCTGAGGAGCGCGCGCAATGAAACAGGGGGGCTCTTTTAATGAATGCTTAATAGATTCCTATGAAGTTCGCATTGAGCCTGAAGTGAAGTGCTTCTCTACGGAAGCAGAGGGAGTGTTACATGGGCTGTTGTTCTTTTTAAATCGTTGATACAAATACTTTCCGTAAATTCGCCACCACTGCACTATAGAATATTTCGGGCTCGAAATTTCCTATCCTTTCACTGTGTGCTTATTCCTCTTGAGCATTTTGATGCATATTTAGAAGTTCTAGTGAAATTTTGTGGGTGAATGGTACGGTGGATCTTGATGTGCTCCACGTATACTACAGAATTGTGTGGGAATGGGTAGTGTTTTGCACTTCCATCTTGACTTTTAGTCTCTTTAGACCAGGGGGGTTTGGCGTTTCTGTGTATTGACTCGAATTTTCGCTGAGGGGACAGGTAGAGGCAAGAGGGCCCAAGGGGGTCCTAAGGCGCAAACGTCGCGGGGCTGCGCAGGTGTCCTGCTGCTGAGGAGGGCGCCGCTGCCCACGAGCCGTCGGTGGTGCTGAGGTATCGTTGCAGCATCATTGCTTCCAACTGACCAACCTAATTCATTGGAGGCATTCTTATTTAAATAAGACCACATAGAACTGCTTTGAATGTGGCAGAGCCGCATCACGCCCCGCTTTCTCCTGATATTGTCCCGGGGTACATACATCGGCGGTGGAGCCCTAGGCCCCTGGTGGGGGGCCCCTCTACCTGTCTCCCCCACTTCTCCCCTTATCCTCTGCTTTTTCGTATTTTTCTAAGCATTTTATAACTGTTTCTGGAAACTGCAATTACGGGGACGCCCCCCAACCCAGGCATTCCTTTCTGCCTCAGCACCCTCTTGGCAGCGCCCCTACATTAGCAGTCCGAATGTCTTTCTGAGGAAGGGCCCCCATCCATTTGCCACCGGCCTTGCTTCGCCATCAAGTGTACGCCTGGTGGGCGTGGGCTGGCGGGGGCATCAGGACGGGGGCATGTCAAGTCAGAGCAGAGAGCTTTTGTCGCTTTTCCCTCAAGCATTTGCTCTTTCCCAAAAGGCCCTTGCAGCAAAAAGAGCGGTTCATTCGTGCAGTGCTTGAGCATTTGAGTCATATCATCACTTGAGCTACCCCATACGTGCAAGTCCACTCGAGGGGAAGTCTCCCGTTAACGAGCCCCGGGGCCCTAGAGATGTCATCTGCCCCCCATGCACCCCTAAGGTGAGATATATCGGCATGATTGTATTCTTCTCTCTATAAATTGCGTCTGAATGTCTTGGATGGCAACTTGGGTGCACACAAGGAGCAGACGGGGTGCCTCGCTTCCTGTGTCTGCATGCAGGGGGCAAAAACCAGCGTTATGCCGCTTCGCTGCTATTGGACGTTGCCATCGGGGTGCCCTATGTGCTTTCGCACATTCTCCCGAAGAGCTGGCACTCAGGAGGGGCCCTCGCCAGGGATACAGGGGTCATCCGAGGGGCCCACCCCATGGCCACGGGGGCCCTCACCCGTCGGGCGGGACCCCATCTTCCGCAGCTCCCGTGCACAAGACAGTGAGGCAAGCTTCGTATAAGGATGAACTATATAAGGGAGCAGATGAGGAGCCTCGTGGGGCCCCTAGGGGGGCTGGTCATGCAGGGAGTGGACACTACAGGTCGGGCGGCTCCCTCTCGGCAAACACAAGTGTAAGTACACGTTACAGGAGATCTTTTGCTGCCTCAGGACTGCGTATATCTGAATCGATTGTGTTGCTTTGGGGTGAAGCAGAGAGCCTATCAGCTTCGAACGGATGATGGCTGCTTGCGTGTTCCCTTGCACCCAAGCGCTGCTGCTGGCATCGCTACTGCTCACTTGGAATTAGGTCGAAGCCTTAGGATGCGTCGCCATGCTGAAGATGGTTGTTTTTTGTTTCAGGGTTATGGCCCTCCAAGGGCGACAAAGGAATGGCGTCGCCGTGTAGCTCCAGAGCCTTCTGGAGCCCACGCTGACGCTCCTGAGCGGGCAGCTGCCTCGCAAGCTAGGTCTGCTGCTGTAGGTGCACATCCATCGGCTGATGCCACAACAGCTGGCGATACATTAGGAGCCGGTGATGAAGCATCTGCTGCAGGTCCACTCAATGCTGCACCTGACACACCGGCCACGGACGCTCCTACTGCTTCTTCCAGCTGTACGGAGGCCCTTACAGCTTCCGATACTGGTACCGAGCAGCAGACAATGCAGATTCCAGGAGATACATATATCAAGGGCGAACCTGAGTCCAAAAGCCTCCCCTTACGTGCAGGTGAAGCGTCCCAGGCATCCTCCGAGCATCAGGAGAGACCCCGCAGAGGAACCAACGAAGTGTGGAGCACCGACGGGCCAGTCAGTTGCAGCACGTGGGTACTTCCTGCAGACAAACTTCGCGGCCCCTCAGATAACCGCTTTCTTGTGTCATCTCCCAAACAGCAAGCGCAGCAACAGCAAGATAACAGCAACTACAAACACGGAGATGGGGACAGCGCTGGATTTACAGCGGCTTCAGGCAATATTGCCGCATCTGCAGCAGGAGCGACCGCAGCTGGTTCTGCGTCAAGCCCAGGCGGGCCTGGGGGCCCCCAGAGGAAGGGCCCTCGCAGGCCTGGCGCTTGGGGGGGGAGCCAGCAGGGTGTTTCCGGCTTTGACCAGCATCAGCAACAGCAGGAAGTATCGGGAGCTCAGCTTCCCTTGGGCGTAAGGGACAGCGAACACACTGCTTATACGGGGGAAACAGCAGGCGTGCGGGGCGAGAAGACAGCGCAGCAACAGCAAGCAGTGGCAGCCGAAGGGCATATGAGCTACGCCACTGTACCCTATGCTGATGAATGGGGACCCTATTGGGGTCCCCTACCACTAGGAGTTCCCACGGAATACGCCTTGGTATCGGAGCAGCAACAGCAACAGCAGGAGATGGGTGTATATGGATTGCCGAAGCTAAGAACTCCTCTGGATGGTTCAACGGCAGCAACAACTCCCGCGGCTACAGTCACAGTCCCATATCCGTTTTATGGAGCTGCCGCTGCTGCTTCTTGGGGCGGACCAGGCTATCTGGATCTTGTTGCACACTACAGGCAGCAGCCTGGTGCTGCGCAGTTGCTGCAGCAACATGCCCCCAGTCTGTATCGAGAATAGAAAAGGTGCGACAGGGCAAAGCCTTATGCGCTGTTTCTTCGGAGGTGGGTGGGATTCCCTGTGTACAGTAGGTGATGGACAGGGACATTGGGGACCCCCAAGAGGCCCCGCGCAGGCATTTTGGATTACATCGGGAGTAGCGGCCCCGCAGGGCAGTGAATGCTCCTTCCCGAGAGAGCGAAAGGCTCAGGCAGTATGCTATCTAGTAGATGAGATCGGGATGTCGGAGGCCCCAAGAGACACTGTAGTAATGGCAGTTGTGCAGAATGATTTAAAAACGGGAAGAGGGAGAAGAGCAGCTAGATTAACCACGAAGACAGAGATTGATAAGAGGGCGATGCAAGTCAGCATTGCTGGCAAGCTTATACCATTATATGAAAAGGTACAGAAAGGCGGCTGCAGGGACGAATAGAGAAGTGCTAAGACGTTTTGGGGTGATTGGGGGGTCACGCCAGTGACCAGGGGACGGTAAGTGGTGACATTTTATACGAAAGTTAATACTATTCTGTTTTTAAATATTATAAATCAATCCTTTCTAGTGGCTCCGGTGAACTGAGGTCACCAGAGGCTTATCGAAGTGATCTCTGGGGCCTCCTCATCCGTTTTGGCCTCACCTGGTGGGCCCCCCAAAACCGGGGGCGAGACTTAGTTCAAGGATAACGGTTCCCATCGGACCGTCAGTGCTCCTCACAGGAGCTTCCATAATATAACGGATACGATGAAAAGTTGTAATCAACAGCGAACAGTAACGAGCAGCACAAACACGTTCGAGGGTCGAGTGTACAGGGGGCCGTTCTCTTGATGCTGCGGGGCGGGGCATCAAGTCACTCACTTCGAGGGGTAAAGAAGAGGAGATATTCAGTGTTCCTAAGGTATTTCTTGAATAAACACTGGTTCCTTCTCTCTCTGCTAGAAAGACGAGCCTCTTCCTCTTGCCCTTTCAAGCCGAAGACCCTTTGCTTCAGTGCCTGTGCTTACTGTGTAGCTGGCTCTGCAGCTGCTGCTGCGCGGGGTCTTCAGCCCTGACTGCTTCTTTTTTGAGAAAAATAAAAGGGGAGGCGCTCGATGTCCCCCAGAGAGGCAATGGCAAAGCTGCAGAAGACTAGCTCAGTTGGCCGAAGGGGCCCCCGAGGGGCCTCCCAAAAGAAACAGCAAATCTCCGCCCTCTCAGATGGGGAAAGCGAGGAAGATCGCATCAGCGATAGCACCAGCAATCAAGAGCAAGCAACAGCAGCAACAGCATGTAGGGCTCCCACAGAGGCGGGGGACCTTGAGCTCTCCGACGGCTGCCTAGATGAGGAAGAGCCATCAGATGACGAAGAGCAGGGCAATTCCCAGTTTGACGCCTCTCCAGCGTCTGCTGGCGAGGCCTCAAGCTGCGAGAGCAAGACAAAGCAGAAGCAGCAACAGCAAAATAAGCACTCACATGACGGTAACGGAAAAGTTGCTCTGATCAACAACAACGTGCTGCTGGATACAGAGACAAATTGGGCCGACCTACACCTCAGCCGGCAACTATTGAAGGTATATGATGTTTCTGATACAATCAGATGACGGTGGTGTTGCCTCCACAGTAGCAACGGTTGCCAGCCTGAGGACTGGTGCTGTGGCTGTGTTGCTTGTCTCTGCTCTACCTGTCCTTCCGCTTCTCGGCGTCCCTGAGGTGGCTGCAGCATGAGTTTGATTGCGTGGAAGGATAAGTTTTTCGGCGCGAACACACCTGTGGTTTGTGGTGTGGGTTGCCATGCAGGCACTGGATGCTCTTGGTTACGAGCATCCTTCCTTTGTCCAGGCAGCGGCTATCCCGGCGGCTCTAAGAGGACGAGACCTCCTAGTCAATGCTCAAACAGGTGACTCAAGCTATATCTCCTAAATTCGACTGCGTTATGTGTGCATGGGTGTCCGGAAATCACGAGGTTCAAAAGCTTTGACTGTTATCTGTGGTGACCAAAACTCGCCGTACGATGCCATAGTTGGGGGGTTTAGGGTATATGTACATATATATATATATTCTGTATGGCTTTTCTTTCAGGATCGGGGAAGACCGCCGCTTTTTTGTTGCCTCTTTTGGAGCGCCTCCTGCAGAGTCCGGGTGTAAGGGCCAGAAAGGCAAGCGGGTCACTCAACCAAACTCATTTAACATACCCGAACAGCCAGACAAAGAGATGTCACCGTAAACGCTTAGATCTTAGGGGTTTGAACTTCTGACACATCCGTATCGGACCGCTTAGACCTCCCTAGGGAGCTGGTCAGGCAGTGATTCTTCTCCCGCAACGGTGCATGCCTGCCCGAATCTGAACTGTGGCAGCAAAAGCAAAGTCGATAAAAGTCTTCATGAGAAACATTTAGCAGCAATAGCAGAGGCTCTTGCAACAAGAGCTCCAGCATTCCCTCGGCTTAAGGCCTGCCTGTGTCTCAGATGACTCCCAGTGGCCCTGTGGGGGGACTTCGCGGTTCCAAGGGCCTCGTGCTCTTGCCAACCCGCGAACTCGCCATGCAGTGCCATCAGCTTCTGCAGGACCTCTGCAAGTTCGCGCCTATCACCGGCACCCTGGTGTGTCATGCATTTCTGCTGTTGCTCTGCTAGGCTCTTGGGGTTGCTGCCGTTCCTCTCACAGAATTGCTGCTGGAGTGGCTGCGTCTCGTTGTTTATCGGTTGCTACCTCTGGAGTGCCAATTTGCTTTCAGGCTGTTGGAGGATCCTCTCTGCCACAGCAGGAGGCCGCACTGCGCTTACAGCCGGATGTTGTAGTTGCCACACCGGGGAGAATCCTAGATCTCCTGCTGAACTCTGCCGTAAGCGTAGAGGCCTTCTTCAGCTGTTACAGCGGCTGCAGCAAGAAAGTTACACTACAGTGGTCGCTCCCGGGGTTTAACTGATGCATGACCTCTTTGGCTAAGTCCGTACGGATTCTAAAATGTATCCCACTGGCGGCTTCTCTGACCTTGTTGGGCCTTGCCTCTGGCAAGTGATGGACGGCCTGATGAATTCCAGGCTGCTGCAGGAGGCAGCGGCCTTCATTGCTGCTGCTGTAGGGACTGTTGTGGCTGCTGAATGCTATGGCCCGGGGCGGCAGGTAGTGTTTAGGTGCGTTTATATCTTGTTGTTTGCTTTCGGCCAGAGCATCCACTTGGAGTTGCTGGAAGTCATTATTCTCGACGAGGCAGACAGACTCTTGGAGCTTGGATTCAGAGACGAAGTACGTGTAGGAATCCGTACAACGTGGCAAGGCGTCTGTTCATTTAAGGAGATTGTGTGGTAGCAGCTGAGCTAGCTACCCAGCTAGAGCTCAACCATGTTGCGCATTCGGGCAGCTGAGTGACGCGCTCTCCTATCGTCATGAGCTTCAGTGGTGCAAGTCAGTTTTTGCATAAGGAAGTGAGCAGCTGGATATGGGTCTGGCCTTGTGCTAATTCGTGTTCTTCACATGGTAGGGTTTATGTTCGGTGCGTGTCTTGCCAATGTGTAGATCCTGCAAGTGCTTAAACACTGCCATCGTGGCCGGCAGACGCTCCTATTCTCTGCGACGCTCACTGCATCTATCTCATCGCTTGCTCTGCTGGCTCTGCAATCCCCATTACACATTACATGCGGAACTGCTGGCAGTAGCAGCAGCAACAACGGAACAGGCAGCAGCCAGCAGCAGTTGCCAGAGAACCTGAAACAGCAGTTTGTGGAGTTGCAAAGCGAGGAGCACCGTATGCCAGCGCTTGTACATCTTTTGAGGACTGCTTTTACCCATAGAGTCATTGTCTTCTTCGGGGTACGCTTCTGTCACAAAAATGACTAGTTTGTGTTCATCCAGGGACAAGCATACCGCTTGCTGGCTATGTTTTAGCCGTGCATGGCTAAAAGAAACAAGTCTCGCTCTCTGCTTATCGACTGTAGTCCCTCCCCTGCAGCATCAGCAAGATCAGCGGCAGTATTGAGGGAGTGTCTACTGGTGATGCTTGGATGCAGACCAAGAAGGCCGCGCATGAGGCCTTCCTTCTGTTTTCTCTTCTGGGCATGCCGTCTGCTGAACTGCATGGAGATCTTACGCAGCAAATGCGGGTGGAGTCTTTTGAAAAGTAAGCGCAATACAAGGATCCCCAAATCCTTCAATAATATGGCTGTCCTCCTTGCTACAATTGATCGGACAGAGTTTTCTGCGTTATATCATTGAGCCCGTGATGCCACTCGGCTTTTCGTTAGTACCCGGTCTCTGCACTCTCTTGCAGCATGCTTGTTCGCTCTGTTGTCGAGACTTGATGGGTTCTTGCGCTACGCTCCATTTCGGTAGAGCCGTCTTCTGCGTGGTCCTCTCGTGAGCTGTTTGCGTCTAGCACCACGTGCTCATGTCTGTCTTCCACAATTCCGTCTATCTCTCAGCCTCTGATCGCTACACGCAATGTTGTACGTCTACGTGTTTTGCACGTAGGAATGTCTCTCTTCACGCCACGGCTGCACAGGTGTGCCTTCACTCGCATATCAGCTCTTGCTGCATGCGTTTTCCGGTGTCTTTAGGTTCCAACAGGGCAAGGTGGAGTTTCTCCTGGCCAGCGAACTGGCCAGCAGGGGCCTCGACGTAACGGACGTTGCGGCGGTAGTGAACTTCTCCCCCCCTAAGGATGTAGATCGGTAGGGAAACGACACTTTATATTTTCCCCCTCAAAGCTCCTTCTGCTTTCGGCTCCTGACCCTACTAGTGTCTTTTGCGGTCTTGAAAGTGGTGGGATCGGTTAGTTTACGCACTTATAGATGCTCATGCTGTGCTCTTCTGCCCCCTCTTATATCCTTGGCAACGCGCAATCGCTGCCTTAGACGTCTCTTCGTGATTTTGCTTATCCGCACTTTCTGTGTATCCGTTTGGTCCATCTGTATGCACATGGTTAATTATGTGGAAATATATATCGCTGCGTCTATATCTGTACCTCAGGTATGTACATTCGGTTGGCCGAACTGCACGAATGGGGCGTCAAGGTACCGCTGCTACGCTCTACAACAGAAATAGCGAAGAGAAGCTTGCTGTCAAGAAGCTTCTGGCCGGCCTGGGGGCCAGAGGCAAGCAGCAGCAACAAAACCAGCAACAGGTTATTAGGAGACGGATTGATATTGCAAATCTTGAGGCCATCGGCAAGGAGGTGAGTTCTACCCGCAAGCGCATGTATATATTTCACAGGTGCTCTTTTTGGAGCTTCCTATTTGAAGCAGAATCAGTATCAACAGTGGGGTTTCATTGTGGCAAATTCGACAGTAGCGGCAAGGATGGGAATTCTGCATGTTTGTATTCAGTTACGGAGCCTAGAGGGGGCTCTTCAAAAAAAGCGGCATGAGGAGACTCTCGAGAGGGAAATGCGACTTGCCCAGCTATACGTTGCCAAGGCAGAGAACATGCAACAACACGCAGGCAAGCGCAACGAGGCAGTGACATAGAAGAAGCAGCAAAAAGAATGACTTGCAGAAGGCTCATGCGGGCAAAGGCATACGCACGGGCTAGCGGGGAGATGTCACAAAGAATAAATACTGCAGAAAGCAGATCAAGCACCTTGGAAGTAATCAGAATTTCAGTATCTCATAGGAGAATATGGAACCACAAGGACACAGTGAAGAAGGCGCCCCTGACCTCACACTGGGTGACCACATTGCTTGTTTACGGCTGCTGCAGATGAGATCTATGCTCGTCCCCACCGGGAGTGGTTTGTGAGTGCGAAAGACAAACGCAAACTTCAGGAGGCTTCGAGGCTGGATGCTGAGGCAAAGGCTCTGATCGGCAGTAGCAGCAGCAGTACACAGGTGACACAGGGCGAGAAACAGAATACGAAGCAGCAAAAGCGGAAGCAACAGGAAGATACAACAGAGTCTGGCAGTAGCGAAGCATCTGTTAGTGGGTCAGATGATGATGGAAGCGAGGACTCTGGCGAGGGTGAGTCAATTGGCTCATGGATTGCAAACAGACGCGACTGCAGCATCTGCAGCAGCAGCAGCAGTATCAACAGTCTGTGGTTTGTCTGTGTTGTTTTTTCAGAACTCCCCGACTGGGTTACGGCTGAGGCCTCGGGTGTTGACTCAGACGGCGAACATGAAGAGACTGAGGAGGCCTTCGTGGGAGCCCTAGAAGGGGATTCTGGTGGTTTGGGTAAGGGTCTCGTTGCGGTTAAAGAGATAAAGCTAACGAAAGAGCAAAGAGCTAAGTTGCAGCAGCAGCAGCAGCAGAAGAAATTTGACAAGAAGCAGCAGGCAATGACACAGAAGCAAAAGCAGGTAAGCCGCGACGTGGCTTTGGGATGCAGGAACAGCCGCAACTTCAACAGTGAATGCGCAAGAAGTAGGCGGTTGTTGGCTGTGAGACGTGCTGTGTCTCAGCGTCTGGAGGAGTTTCGTATGGCGAAGGCTGCGGCCCGGTCTTTCAAGAAGTAAGCTGAAGAGGGCAGGTGTCTTCAGTCCTAGCTGTTACCGATCCCGGGTCATGCAGCATATCTGGGAGCAGCGGCATCCAAAGGCGTATCTGTGCGATTATGAATGCCTGATTTAGAGAGTTTTTTTGTGCTCGTTCATTTTATTCCTTACCCATTCTGCTGGTGCAGGAGTGCGAAGCCGCACCGGATGCGCATGGATATGGACGACGATGATGAAGGGTTCAGGAGGGGCGCACAGAAGCGGCAACATCGGCGAGCGAAGAGAAAGCGAGAAGCGCCAGCAGAAAGCAGCAACAAGCGAAGCATGTCAGAAGTAAACGACTCGAAAAGACCGAGGCGACGGGCACCCTTGGGAAAGAACAACTTTAAGTCTAAGAAGAGATACAAACGCAGGTAGCAGAGAAAGTACCAACTAGCGGGCAGCGTCAGTCGCTGCAACTCCTTTAAACGCCATCTTACGAACGCCTTTACTTGTAACTGCTGCAGTCACGGCGTCGCAGCACAAGCAGCATTGGCGGAAGACCCAAACCCGCAGGAAGGGTTTGGAGCAAAGCATATTTCGTTCCCCTTTATTTGTCGTATACACGAGGCTTAGAGGCAGACCAAGACTTCCTGCGCGATTTAGAGGTCTTCAGTGTCCCTGCAAAGCCCTTCAGAGCAGTAGATCCTCGCAGCTAGTTAGCTACCGGGGGGAAACAGGTGATGCCCTGCAATCAGCCGGCAGTGGCTTTGCCCAGTTGCTGTGTTCTGGTAAGTAACTAGCTAGTTTTGCAGCTAGCTGGTTATCATATAGCCGCGATACCTTCTTGGGGCTCTGGTCCTGCATCGACTTTATTCCAGCACGCGAGGCGCACAATTCCTGCCTATTGCAGCACGCAGATTACTGCCTGTTGTCACCAGCGTATCTATACATGCGTGTGTTAGGACAAGGGGATAAAGGAATCTAAACAAAACCTGAATCTGTAAAAATAAGGCAAGCAGATGAATGAGTCCCGTAGAGATACCTTGGTCCACACATGATGGGTGCATCGATCCAGGCTAGAGCGGATGGAAACATATGCAAAAAACTGTACAGACGTTTATCAACAACTGCGAAGTGGTACAAAGTATAAGGGTACTTGGAAACTAAGAGCTGCATGACCTTCAGGGCCTTCATGATGCTACCGCCGCCCACGAGAAGGCCGCTTTGTCAGGCCGACAGCTGCAAGAGCTGCTGCTCGCGCTGCTGTTGCAGTGCGCATCCTCCACTGGTTTTCGCCTTGCCTATTTGTATAAGTGCCCGCGGCAGACTCTGCTGCCTCTGTTTCCACTGATGCAGCAGCAGGTTCTGCCTTCGCTATCTGGAGCAGCCTCCGTTGCTGCTTCGGTTGTTGATCTAGCCTTCTTCTGCTGTTCATAGTTTGAAGAGTCGTCTTTGCTGCACTGCCTGCGGGTGGCGATAGCTCAGTAGGTGAAGTACCGTCTACGGGGGTGAGGCAGTCATCCGCAGGCTCCAGCGGGGTTAGGAGAGTGGAAATACGGGAATTTGTGTCAGTAGGGGAGCCCTCGGAAAGGAGCTCCTCATCGCCGCATAAAGCAGTGCCGGCCTTTCGTTTGTACACAGTAGCCCAACTGGAAGCGTCCACGTGGGACAAGTCTAGCACCACCTGTTGTTGGCTTCCCTTTCTCACTTCTCCCACTACTGCTCCTGCGCCTTCTGCTGCAGCCTCCGCTTGGCTGCTGGGCCGTCGGTGACAGCCGACTGCAATAGCACACATTTCACGTAAACGGAAGAAATGCACATATGCACAAAGCACAACACGGAATTGAGAAAAGCGGCCACAGTGAAGCCAATAAAAGAGAGCCTTTAGCAACCGTACCTGAAGCAGCAGAACTCGGCTCTTGCCGCTGTTCTTGCTGCACGAGTGTGAGTGAGGGAGAAGCAGCAAAAGGCTCGCCGCAGCATCGGTAGCCCTTCCTAAAATACTTGACTTTCATTAGCTGCGCAGCCGTTGGTCTCAGCGCCGGATCTGCGGGAACAACGGCATCCAATGCAGCAGCACGACCCTAGTGCCACACAGGATCCGCGCGGACAGCAAAAGTCAGCAGCACCCACCTGGACAGCTCAGCAATTCGCACAAAAGAGCAGCAAATAGGCGGGAAACCCCACAGTAGCAGAAGAACTGGGGTGCAGCAGGACAAACAGCAGTAGCAGCACGAAGTACCCCTTTGGAGGAGCATCTTCAAGATGCCGCGAATGCCAGAACCGAGGACCCTCTGAGGCAACAGGGAATCCAGCAGCGCATCGAGCTGCAGCTGCGCATGCACCCCGTTCTCTAGGAGGCAGGATGGAGGGCTGATGAGCTCCCACATGAAGACGCCGCTACAGAGCTCCAGCAGCACGCAACCCAGACTCCAAATGTCTGCCTGGAGGCACAGTGGAACGGCAAAGCACACACACACATATACATACATATGCTACTAAAGGGGAAGGTGCACTCTGCGACTCACAGGCAACCAAGAGGGCCCACCAGAGATATGCAGAAGGCTGAGACAGCAATATTATACAAGTGCGTTAGGCTGGGTGCCCTCCTATTGAGGAAGAAGGAGGCATGGAAAGAATGGAGCATGCACTGTTGGCACATATAGGCAGAAAGGACCCATGCAGAATGCCTGGATCTTGAATTCGTTCGTGGATAATAAGTCGTGGCTAAACCTGACAGTGGGAGGTGCATTGAAGAGATACGGTGTGCCACTCCGAGACACAGGAACGCATGATGATAGGCGAGGCAATAGCCGCGGTGAGCTTATTACATGGGCCTATGTTGATGTCTCTTGGGGTCCAGATACACACACGGAAGGCGCTGTCACGCATCCTCCATGCCACATAGTCCCTAAAAGTCTAAAGTAGATAAGGGGCATACCGCTTTGCCGTAACGAGCGCCAGAGAGAACTTCGGGTGCCATGTAGCAGTCGGTGCCAGCCACAGACATCGCGGACCTGACTCCTGCTTTTCCCTCTCCTCCCTCGGTTGACAAGAGGTTAGAGCCATCAAAGCTCCCTTCTAGTGTGCTGCAGCAGGTGTAACCGCTTCTAGCCCACCCGCTGCTGCTGCCCAAACAAACGACAGTTGAGAAAGGACGTAACAACATGCAGCGAAAAAAGAACCCTGCCCACTCTAGACAACGGCAGAGCAAACGCTGGACTGCTGCTTGCGTCGCTGCATGCGCAGTCAGAGAGCGCCCCGCTTGAATTTCCTGTATCTTCTCCCTTCGTAAAAAATAGCTACCTCTACGCCTCCCACTGTGTCCGCCGTTACTGCTGCCTGCTGCCACATCTGAATTTGTAGATGCCGCAGCACGCCACTGCTGCTGCTTCCTTAGAAAACAGGCCACCGCTGATACGCCTTGCTGCAGCCTCTTCGGCTGCCGATGCTGCTGCGACTCTAAGCGCGCGTCTAGAGACGGCAAGGCTGGTCGCTGGAGCAGCGCCTTGTTGAAGGGCCCTGCAGAGCGGCATAGTCCAAAGTCTCCTAGGCGGATGTGGCAGTCCTCCGATAAGAAGACATTCTGGCTCTTGATATCTCTGCGAGTAGAAAAGCAGCGGCAACAACAGTGGCCTCTGCTGCATGCTACACAAATGAATGCCCCTTAGGTTGAGGCAGCACGGCTACCGCAAGGCTACAGCACCGCATTCAGCAAGCCTTTCCGTATTCCACGAGCCCCCCATAAAAGACGGAGTTGAAGGCCAACGTTGAAACTACGGTCGTTGCTTCCGTTGTTCCCTCCTCTGCTCCTGCCACAGTAATGTGCCTACCGATGAAGAATATTCCTCTCGTGCAAATAGTGCACCGCCTGCACCAGCTGAAACAGCCAACGGCGGATCTGCAGTAGCGGTCCACAGCAAGTTAAATACACATGTGTGGCCACTGTGCGACGGCTAAAGCAGCGACTGAAAGAGGACTTGAAATGTGGTCCGCAGGCTGAAGGGCATCATACGGTGAAAGACAGAGAACGCTACAGTACAGCGGAGCCAGCAACAGCGAAGCCCTAGCCAGGCACATAGAGAGGAGTACACAGTGCAGATGCAGCTACAGGACAGGAGAAGATTCATTCAAAGGCGATGAGGGAGAAAGGGGGAAGAGTCCATGACCCATGCAGGCTTTTACACAGCCAGGTGCCAGCCATCTGTGGGCTCTCCAGCAGCTGCATCAGCCGTACCCTGCGCTCTGTAAGGGCCCTGTACTGCTTCTCAATGAGGCGTTTCAGATCCCCCAGGGGACAAAACTCCATCACCAGCATGAAAAACGTTTGAGGCTCAACGTATCCGAAAGCCTTTTCCTGGTGAATAAACTCGCCAACGTAGCCGACCTGCACCATAAGCCGGGGCAGCAGTTGTCACAGTCGCAGCAGGTTGGACGTTCAAAACAAGGCGTGACAGTGAGGAGCGGCTGCATAATAAAGAAAGCGAAGGCCACTTCGTCAAGAGAAAAAAAGTCTCCACGCTGAAACCGTAAAATCAGAGTCCTGGCAGCCACTGTAACAGCATCCACACTATCAAAAATCCCCAGTCCTTACAACATATCTATGGGTGAGGTGGGCAAGTCGCCTGGCTTCCTGTTGGTAGGAATCTGCCGCGGTGATATCTGCAACCTCTACCTTCTTCAGAACAACCAGAGAGCTCTCTGCGCTTTCCGCCATCGCATGACGGCGCATGCGCGCCAGCCACACAGTCCCGTAGCCTCCCCGACCTAGCTGATACACAGCCTCATCACACCAGGAGCAGCCAGCAATTGGGATGCCGTATCAACGCGTAACACAGGGGGACAGACACTTGGGCAAGACGAGATCTGCTGCAGGAAAGCCGCTCAGCCGGTGCGACACCTACAACAGCAGCAATAGGGGGTGGTTACCTTTTTTAGCAGAATATAGTCTCCCCTGCAGAGTCTGCACTGACAGCACCTTATGAAGCCAACATAGAGCCGCATGAGGTGCAGCATTCCCAGGATACAGAGAGCTCCCAAAACAGCAAGCGCAATCATGTTGTCGGGTGTCAGTGGAAGCTGCAGCAGACACACGGGGCCTTCGCCAGTTGCCAGCCAAGTTCTGCAGGGGCCTCCAGCAGCAGCTGGTGCCTGATGCTCCTGCTGCCACAGCAATGCCTCCTGTGCGTTCGGATAAAAACTCTTTGGCTCCTCCAGCACTGCATTAGTTGGCTGTGGAGTCGCACCAGTAGCTGCTCCTGCTGGTGCTACAGGCGCCTCTTCCGATGCAATAAACTCGATCTCCCCCCTAGAAGACTGTCCAAAGGAAATCTCAGGGGCCTCCAAACATTGCACTGCGCTTCCTGCTACGGTTGCACAGTTGCCGCTGCTGTGTCCACAGCTTCGGGATTCTGTACATGATTCCGAATCGCATGCTCTCTCCGCTGCTACTGCTGTGGCATAAACAGCTGCTGCAACCGGATGTGCTGAAGCTGCAGCAGCTCCACTGCCAGTTGTGACGTTTGACACGGCTGCCGCGCCTGCAGGAAGGTTCAAAAGGTGAAGCAGAAGTGCAGCACTGGCAAGCAGGCAATGCAGTGGCCTGGAACTCGCAATGTAAGCAGTACCCGCTTTCTGCTGACGCTGCAGCTGTGACACCACATGCAGCAGTCCATATTCCTTCTGCCACAATTGTGGCGCATGCAGTTTCTGCTGTTGCGGCAGCAGGTGCGGCCATGCGGGGGTTGCGGGACAGTGCGACGGGGCAGCGGCTTTCACTACCACCACTCTCTGTTGTATTTTCTGCTGCTGAAGGCGCATCCCATGAGAAAACAGCCGGAAAGTGTATTCCGGTGTTGTTGCTGGTTCTGCATCTTTCATGCGGCTCGACTGGTACGCAGCGGTATGACCTTGGCGCTGTTGCTCCTCCTCCTGCCTGGCGCCTCGACAGCTGTCCGATCGGAGAGGGAGGTTCCCAGTCGGCCTTCTGCAAGTGCGGTGTTGCTTTTGCTGCAAGATACACTTGAGCTGAATCTGCTGCTGCGCAGCCACTCCAGAGAGTCCTGCTAACACTACCAACAGAGCTGCACAGCCAGCTACAAGCATTCCAGGTGCTGCGTTTCCAGGAGGAGGCTCTTCTTTCTGGTCTTCCTGCTGCTGTTGCAGCATGTGGTGCAACGTAGGCCAGTGGAATTCCTTACCCCGAAAGCGCAGCCTCTCGGCCGTAGCGTGTGCTGATGGATGTCGACTGCTCCTGCACGTGTTGGTGCTGTAGCCGTTGCTGCTGTAGTCCAGCAGCAGCAACGGGGCCACAGAACGCAGCATATGTTGCTGGCTGGGCTGCAGCTGAGCGGAGCACCTCGATCCCGTCGCATACGACTGCAAGAGCTCTTGCTGGAGTAAATCGACGCGGGATACACCGACATTCCCTGAAGGGCCCTGGGAGGCACCCCGTTGGGTGTGGCCTGCGGTTATTGCAGCATCCCCGGCAGCATCTGGCGATGAGAGATTCTCTGGCCAAAAGGAAGGCAGCTGCTGAAGGAGCAGTGTCAAGCAGAGGGACTGGTGCATCGGTGTAGCCGCCGTTGCTGTTCTTCCTGCTGCTGAAGCCTCTGCGCTGCTGCGGCGGGAGGCAGCAGGGAGCCTTACTGCCGAGACACAGGTGCCTATGAACAGGCAGTATCAAGACGAACAGAAACTTAGATAAGCACCCTTCCGGCCATGGGGAAAGGGGGCCCCCAGCTGCCGCGTAGTGGCAGGCCCTGGACTCGCAATGCGTCCACTGCCGCCTCGGCTAGTTTGCCGACGACCCAGAGGTAGGAAAACTTCCCGGAAAAACATGCATACTGGTGCTCATGGAATCAGTTATGAGTGTACGCTTGCTTGTACGGCACCAGTGTCCCATAGCAGCAACGGCGCCAGCAGCTGCGGCACGAGCTGACTGGTCAGCAGCGACTCGAGGCAACGACAGCAGCACCATGCCTCTCTCTATGGAGGGTCCATCTCTTTTTGTATAAATATCTGTCTGCCCTAGAGTAATAAGATCGGGAGCTACAGAATCGTAGGCGAAATGGCTCACGCCTCTGCTCTTGCTGCTGCTCGAGGAGGGTTCCCGAGCCGGTACTGACTCCAGGAGTTACCTCGCAGCAAGTGAAGGGGTAATTCGGCACCCCAGAAAAGGCAGATTACTGGATAATTACTAGGCCTTAAAGCGGCAACTCCCTAGAGCCGTGAAGCGAGGCTGGGGGAATCTCAACAATTGCATTAGTGGCTCGATCCGACGATGGAAAACCTGGGGCATGCGGAGCCAAACATGTTCTCGAACACACAGTAACTCTACGGATCTATCTTCAACTGTTTTCATTTATGGTGCTTTCGTAACCGCCATAACCACCCCCACAACATTTTGACAAGCATTGGACGGCCTCTGGAGGCGACCGTATTAAAAGAGACACTATCAAAGTGAAGGATCTTTCAGCTGAGACTCCACTTCAATCTCTAGTATCTAAATCTTGGATCACTATGACCTTACCACGCTTCATTCAAGGAGACAACTCTCTGTGAGAGCTCTGGCCATTTTCCTGTTGGTTTGAAAATGGACCAGAGGCGCTGTCCTCCCAGTGCAATGCTGCATTCCAGGCTATGGTGAAGTTCTACTTCACCATACGTAATCATATTAGCTGCTGTTAATCAATGCCTGTACGCAGTGGCTGCTGTGTTTTAATGTTCTGCGCAGACGTGTAAAACTTCGATGCCTGCAGGGTGGGTTATGCCTGACTAAGGCAGTTGCAATATGCACCTGTCTACGAATTCCCAAGATGTTCTAAGAATGCAACCCCGCGCACCTACGCTTCCTTTCTTCTCCCTGGTAAAACCCTTAGTTAGTGGAATTTACGTGGAAGCGGAACTTCTGATATCTTCTCTCACGTAGACGTGTCTTGTCGGCTATGGATCCATTTTAAAGGCCCTACAGGAAGAACTACATAACCTGATACTAGAATCAGGGATACAGGCACCATGTACGATCCTTTTGGCAGGTTCCCGCATTAGGCAGCCTTCGAGGAACCAATTCGGCCCTTTAAAAAGATGCCGGTAACTTTTCTCAGGTGTGATTCACTTGAAACACGGAAGGAGAACTTTTGATACATCCTCTTAGCCGCGAGTTAGTGCAAAATCTAAGCGCGCATCATATATATATATATATATATATATATATATGTGAGACCCAGCCCATAAACGTACTCCTTGCCGTATGGCTCGGTCGTGCAGGAAGACCACCACAGGATTGACTTCCAAGAAAGGGCAAGAAGCTACCCATAGGACAAAGCTGATTGCATTTTTGCACATTCGCGGCACAGCATTCGATCTGTACCCAAACAGCAGCGCGGATGAGAGTAGATACGGCAAACCGTCCAGCTCCGCAATTCGCTATGAGCCTAAGCCACCTCATCTCTAGTATTCCGCTGTCTCTTAACTAATTAGGACTTTTAAATGGAAGGCTTTATATTTTGCTTTACTTCATATTAATGGAGAGAAACGCACGTGTGGCAGCACAACTGCTCGTGCGTTCCCACTGCATGGGAGGTAGGTTTCAGGGCCCCCATTGAAAACCGCTATATGTGTAGCGCCAAGGCTTTTAAGCTACGCCACCTGTTACCTGTCTAAGTACCAAGTGAAACAAGTCGGTTGCTACGCTAGGCGTCCGACAGCAGCTACTCACAAGCACCTCTTCAAGGGTCCCCAACACGGAGTTCAAGCTAATACCACTCATCTAGGAAAGAAAGCATAGACTCTTCTGGTTCCGTATCGTCCGCTTCGAAGAAGGAAAAGATACTCCCCGTCCCGTCCGCCTCCTCAGTTGTCTGCCTCCTCTGCTGCTGCCGCCACTGCTCATTTTCCACCCGCATGCGCTGTTGTTCTGCGATCTCCGCAGCAACAGCAGCTGCAGCTGCTGTTGCTGCATCGTCTGCTGCACTATCACCCGCATTTCCACCATTTCGTACGTAAAGCACCGAGTGTATGGACACCCGAGGCCACCCATCTTGCTGTTTCTTCCGTCGGCCCCTGTCATCGTCGAGCGTCTTTAACAAGGAATAAAAGGCCGAGGCCAATGCGTCGCCTGCCGTGCACAGAGGGGTAAAGCCACAGTAAAGCGAAGCATTTAATGGACCAGCCGTAGCAAGGAGAGGCATAACCGTAGTTACAGGGGCAGAAAAAATGAGTGAAAATGAGTGAGGAAGCGGCAAATCTATGGGTGCAGTGTCAGCAAAGTACACAGAGGCATACAGCGGTGCACCATCCAGATAAACGTTCTCTATACATGTAGCTGAAGCAGGAGTGAGTAAAGTAAAAGCAGGAACACATTGTAGGATAAATACACAGCTTACCGATCCCCCGTTCTCCCGCACTTTGGGAATAAACATCTTCCCTCAAAACGTGAGGCCTCAGCATTCCATCTACGTTATCCTCATCATTGCCTCCCACATCCTCATTATCCGAGTCACCAGCAACAGAAGCAGCAAGAAAAGGCTCTCCTTCGGAGTCATCGTCAAAACAGCCGTCTCCTTGGCAGCGGCAGCAGTTGCATGCAACACCACTGTCTGCTGCACCAGCCCCAGAGTCAGCAGAAGTGGTACCACGAGATCTGTTCGCCTGCCTAGCAGGATACAAGTCATCTTCCTGCCCCTTGAGTAGCTGCTGCACCCTGTTGACCACTGGTTTGTCCTGCATTCCGCAAACGTCAGGAGAAGCAACATGCTCGCTGCGTCTATTGCTCCTGCTTGTGCCATGCATTTCCAGCGGTGCGGAGCCTCGTTCCGTTGCTACAGCTTGCAACATGGAGGCTGTGAGTGGCTGCCCAGGGGCGTTGCTTGCGCAACTGGTACTGGTGCGTGTGCCGTTGGTGGTACTGGAGGTGATGGTACTGCCATGTTTAAATCTGAAGCTGTGGAGGGAGAATCCGTGCTGCTGCAGAAAAGTGGTGAGAGACTGCAACGCCTCATAGGGGTCTCCATCAACGAGAAGATCCTCATCACATAAGACTTCTATACGGTGCAGCGTTGCTTCAAAGTCCTTTATAATAAGCTGGATATTAAACAAAACAAGACCTTGCAGATGAAGTGCCTCCATGGCCTCCGGGCTCGCACCCTCCAGCATGAGGCCTTCCAAATCTGCTGCCACTGCCGGTGCTGCATCTGATTCATTTGCAGTGGCAAAAGCTACGTGCCTTGAAGGCGCAGACGCCGAGCGCGCGGTCTCGTCCCCCGTATCCCCTGCATCACTCTGCTGTTCCTGCCAGTTCTGGTGCTGTCTTTGCAAGTCTGCGTTCAGCAGCAGAAATCCGACGATTCTGAGAAGGCGAATGGGGGGCTTACTCCACGCGGGCAGATCGGCGAGGTAGGAGTACGCAGCAAGGAACAGCAGATCGTGAGTCAGCAGGCGAAAGGGCACTTCCAGCCCCTGCAACTTTGGATAGAGGACGCTGTCTTCGCATGCATTCTGCAGAAGCTGCTGGTCATAGAGGGGGAGGGCGAAACGCTGCAGCCTCTTCAGCAGCTGAAGGGTTGGCTGCATGAGGGGGTGCTGCTGCAGCGCGCGAGGCTTCCGGTAATCAAGGAATAAATCCAACGTAGGAATAGTATCTTCTGCTGCCCCGAGTTCTAGAAGTGCCCTTGCCTGCAACTGAGGTTCCTGCCTGAAAACTGCAGCGAGGTTTGCTGCTGTAGCTGCCCTCATCTCCTCCTGCTGCTGCAACGGCAAGCCCATGTGTATCGACTGCAGGCGTTGCACCACGAATGGAGCGCTTCCAAGTGGTCCTGCTGGCGAGCCGTGAGTAGACCGCACTCTCTGATCCCAAGAAGCAGATATTCCTGCAAAGAGTAGCTGTGACTCAAGATGAGCGTGAGAAGAATCTCTGTCGTTGGGTCGGGTGGTGCTCCGTAGTGACGCCACTCCTGCTGTGGCTATTTCAGAGGCGTTACAGCAGCACGATCCACAACGGCAGCGACAGCCTGTTGCCGCACGGAGTTGCCGTCTGCTGCTGGCCCCCTTACTGCTGCTGCTGCTATTATTCAGATCAGGGAAACTCTTACCACTCAAGCTAGCTATGGCTTGCGCGCCAGCGGCAGCGTTGGATGCAGTGCCAATAGGTCGTTGCAGTGGCAGGTTCTGTTTGCAGCAGTAACAGCAGCAGCAGCACCAGCGGCGACTCGCCTTACAGCAGCTACGAGCGAAAGTCTGCTGTAAGTCGTCAAATGCCACGAGCTGCAGGAGAGGCTGCTCGGCTGCGTCTGCTGTCTCGGCTGCTGGTAGTGTAGCACCAGCCCCTGCTTCTGATACAGACTTTGACTGGCCACGCAAATGTGGCACTGCCCTCGATGTTGTTGCAGTAGCCTGAGCGTTCCACTTGGTTCTCCTGCCAGTGCTTTCGCTGCCGCTGCTGCTATATGGTGTGCTCGAACCGTCCCTATCACTGAGCTGCGCCTGCATGCGATGCCGCAGTATCAGCTGTTGCTGCTGCTGCTGGCGCGAACGTCGTCGAAAGGATGAGCGGGATGCCGAGGAGTCCACACTGCTGTTGTTGCTGCTGTAGGCGGAGCTAACGTTCAAGCCGCTACTACGACTACTACTACTACTGCTATTGCTATTGCTGCCATTACTACTGCTACGCCCGTTACTACTGCTGCTGCTGTCGTTGTGGTCTCTCCACGAAGCTCGAGCACTTGAATGGACCCTGCTTTTGGTGCCTCTGGGGGAGAGATTGGGAGTAGAATTTCCGCCGCTGCTGCGGCCGCTACTCCTCTGGCTGCCTTTGTTCTTGCTGCTGCTTCTGCTGCCTTCGTTGCTCGTGCCTCCACGCGCCAGCGCTTCCTCCCCGCTGCTAATAGTCAGTTCCATGATGCTATCTTATCACAAGGAGACTGTCCACAGCAGCGCACATTCCTGCACTGCGTATATATGCTGCTGGATGTTACCCAGTTGGCATGCGCCTCGGAGGGCACGAGTGTTTCTTCTTCCCTGATTCTGTTATTGTTTCTGGATGTGTGCTCCGAGAATCTAGTGCTGGTATTACTGTTGCTGCAGTTGGGCTAAAGGTTTGTGGACTCCATGTGAGCCTGTAAGTTCCTGAAGCAGCAGTTGAAGTAAGTCTAAAAGGATTCGTTGCGGTGGTAGTAAGTGCAGCAGGATCAGTGGAAAAGAGCTATAAAGGCTGGAGCTAGGGCATAAAATGTTATGCACGGCGGCTTGGGCTTACTTATCGTGATTCGAGGCTGCTGCGGCCGCTGTTGCTACTGCTGCTGCAACTTCGCAGCAGGTTCAGCACAATAAGAAGAATTGCTTCTGCGTGAAGCAGGCAGCTTAGGGTGTGTAGGAGTTACACTCAATGGAAACAAGAGAAGACTAGCTCAGGCCTTTGGGTTAAGACTTTATGTCAGCTAGCTGCCTGTTGTTGCGAGTGTCGCCGCTGCTGTCACGGCTTTGCTATTCCTGATGGGGCCTGCTTTGCTGTTATGAATATTAAGCTTCCTATAGTTGTATAGTGACTGAACAGCGGCTTTTAGACTGCTTTAATTGCCCTGTGCTAGATGCAGAAGTGCAGCCCCGAACTGCTGCTCGTGCTGCTGCTCGGGGCAACACCAACCCCACCAATTCTGCAATAGCAGCAGAAGCAGTAATGAGAACGTCGGCCGCTTCAGCCTTTTGGTATTATCCTTTCCTTTTATTTCTTATCAGAGGCTTCACCTCTCTTTGAAGCGAAGTGGATCTCCTATATGTGATGCTGAGTGACGCCACGCCGCTGCAACAACAGCCTCGGCGGCCGCAGAAGCGCCAGCAATAGCCGTTTCCACCGCAGAAATAAAGGATATTCTGGCTTGTATGAGGGTTTCATTGTTGTCTTTGCCGTGTTTCTTAACTATTTTGCCTTCCGTGTCCGTTAGAGTGCCCCAAACGGGCCCTCCTGCCATCTGGAGTGTTATCCAGAGGGGCCCCCCTTTGGGGTTCCTGAGAGCTGAAACCGAACATACTGCAGCTGCCTCCACAGAACACGTTTATTCAGGTGCAAAAATAGGAACAGGAGGCGGAAGCGGCTGAGGAGCCGCTGCAGAGGGCCCTCCTTCCCAGCCGCGGCTGCTGTCGGCAGCTGCTGGCGGTTCCAGTGGCTCAAGTTTTCCTGCAACTTGCGTAAAGGGAGTGCACACAATGAGGCGCCTTCCCTCGTGCATTCCTCTGCCTGGGCAGCTCATAGGTTCTCTTGAGACATACTGCAGGTGGGGCTCTTGGCTTTGCTGCAGCCGTGCACGTGTCTTGCAACTTTTGACTTTGCTCTCTTCTTCTTCAACCTGCGCTTCCCATTCATGCGTTCCTTGCCTTCGCTCCAGAGCCTGCGCACAGTGCCCTTCTCATGCCTTTGTCCAGTCTTACACTCCTTCTGCGCCGTGTATCTGTTCTGCGAGCCTTTCTTTGCCCCCTCCCTCTCTACCCGCCTCGCACTCCAATGGATGCAGCAAGTGTTTTTCCACCGCTGGTACGATCTCTGCAGCGAACATTTTGGCTGGCTCCAGTGCTCTGAGATTGCTCATATCTTCGCCGAGCTGCAGCGCCTACGGGATGCAGCAGTTGCCTCCCTCACCCGTAAGGCGTCTCAGTAGCAGCTGTAGCCGTGCTGTATCTGCAGCGTGTGTCAGGTGTGCTGCTGCATAGTGAGGAATACTTGGTCATGCGTTTTTTCGAGGACAATCGGGATCCACAAAGACGCTATGTGGCGTCGGAGACGTTTGGCAGCTGGTCGTGTTGTGATGGTTTGGTGTTGTTGCCGCAGCAAAGAGTGGCTCTGAAGAAGCAGAGGCTCGTCTAATTGAATACGGAAGTCTATTGCGTGCTGTGTCATCGCGGCTTTCCGGAAAACCTCCAGGGGCTCCCCCTGGCAGTGTCTTACGGCTGCAGCTGCCGTGGCTGTGTGCTCTGTTCTCCCCCATCAGCAGCATCCCCAGCGGCAGCAGCAGCTTGTGGGGAGGGAAGGGGGGCACTTGCCAAGCCGCCGAAAGGACTGTAACGACACTGGAAGAGGAGCTTTGCTGCTGCGTCTTTGCTCTGGCAGCGCTGCAGCACAACAGAGCAGTTCTGCTCCAGAGAACTCAGGGGGACCACTACAGGGAGGCCGTGCGGCTATTCTCTCGAGTGCGCTGTCTACGGCTTTCCTCCTGCCCTTCGCCTGTATTAAGCACTCTGTTTCTTGCTGATGCACCTCCCTCTCCTGCACAGTTCTGCAGGACTGCCAGCCACACAGCCCAGGAGCTGCCTTTTTCGTCGAAGCCGCTGTAGCTGCCCCGACCACTGAGTGTACCTGCCTCCTAGCTGAAATATCTCTCCGGAATCTATACGCGAGCCGTCATGTGGCTGTGTTTCGCGCCAAGCCCTAAGGCGCGGCTCCACGCACGGTGCATGCGAGAGTCCGGCGTGAGTTGCCTGCCTGCATTTCTGTGCGTCTCTTCAGGCCGCTTCACTCTTCACGCTGGCAGAGTCTCTCGCTCTCTCCGCTCAGAGCCTCTCTGCCGATGCCCGAGCCTTCGCTGCCTTTTCCTTGGCACATGTATGCGTCAGCGTTACCTGCTTTTAGCGGAATAATGACCACAGCAGTACCTGCTGCCGTGGTCGTTTTGGATGCTCTCCTTGCGAGAGCAGACGCTTTCACGGGCTGGGAGGTGCAAGTGGAACTATGGGATTCAGTAGCGAATACCGCTGTACATGCTGCAGTTTCTGCCTCTCCATGCTCTGAGAGTGGTTTCTGCGTTTTCTGTGGCCGCACATGATCATCCAGTGTCTCTATGTAACTTGCCGTTCAGGCGCAGTCCGTTTGCTACGAGGTGGCCTCCCGGGAGTCTATGAGTCTTACCTTTCGCTCAAAACTCGCGGCTCACGCCTCTACCCTTTTTGCTGCTGCAGCAGAAGGGCTCCAAGCAGCTCAGCAGAAGGCACCTGCAGAGGCTTCTTTAATGCCCTGTAGGACGCTCACCCGTTTGGCTGCTGCCTGCACTCCTACACGTGTTGCTTGCGCGCGCCAGTGGCGTGTCTCATCATTGCTCTTTTGATCCTATGTTGCTGATGATTGCACTTTTGCACAAACGGCGCGTGGAGAAGTTTTTTGTGGCTGTGGGGCCCGTTGCTGCAGCGCTGCAGCGCAGCGGCAAGGCTACCGAGGCCGTTGCACTAGAGGGTTGGTGCAGGTACTTACTTCACCCCACCCCCTTCTCTCCTGTAACAACCACTTCTGCTGGCCAAGCTGCACGCTCAACTTAGCTACCCAAAATGCGCATGTGTGTGTGCTTTTCGATCATGAGAGAGCACATAGGTTGCTCCCATGGATGCTCTTTTCCACCGCCATTGATGTTACTGCAGGTCTGAGGAGCTGTGCTTTACAGCCGTTGCGCATCTACAGCTCGCCCTTCAACAGAAAGAAATCGCAGAGGCCGAAGGTATCGAGGGTTTCCTTTGCCCCTCCTCGCCTGCATGTGTCGACCGAAGATGCACTACGTGGACGTTGCTGCTTCTGTTCAGTCTTCTGTTGCTGCTACGCCCTCCGCTGCTGCCCGTACAGGTGACGGCTTCGGCATGCTTGTGGCTCGAATTACACTGGCTGAAGAGTTCCTCTGTCGGGCAGAAGCAGAAGCGTCTGCTGCCGCAACAAGGACTCCTGGGGCACCCAGGCTGCAAACAGCAAGGCTACGTGCTGCTGTTGATGCACTGCTAAGGGGAGCAAAGAGAGACAACCAACTGGTGAATACTCAGTTTCCAACAGCTGAGCTCTGCTCTTTCTTGCTGGTGCCTTTTGCTGACGCGCTAAGGCAGCCACCGTTTCGCCTTGCCGTTTCTTTCTGCGCGAATCAGCCACCTAGTAGTGTGTGTTGGATGTGCATGTGGGGCATACACCTGCTGCTTCTGCTGCTGTTCAGGTGTACATGGAGCCGGTGCCACCGGCGTCTGCAATTCCACCCCTAGAGGAGAGTTCCTGTCTGAGGGGGACCTCAGCCCAGGTGTCTCTCCAGGTACAGCGTGGAGTTTTTCAGTAGCTCAACGTGTCCCTGGCATCAGCAACATATTAGCTGTATACATCGTAGCATTAAGATTCTTATACAGTACCAGCTGCATGTGCTTACGGGTTAGAGGCTACACCCTTTTGGAGTTGCATGTATCTTGAAAACAGGCCTTGGGTTGTTCGTCCTAATGAGTTATTCATCTCGCGAATTCACACAGCTTTCCGCGTACGAAGCGTGCATATATAACAATATAGACCTTGCTGCATACCATCGTGCCAACTTAAACTCTCGTCTCGCTGATAACTGTTATTTTTCCTGCCTCTACAGGAGCTACTGCCCCCAAACGAACGGGCAGAGCAGCAGCTTAGTGCGTTACTGCCGGCCGGCATTCGCGCGCTCGCGGATGAGTACCAGGCGCTGTAGGTACCCCCACATTCTGGTGGCACTGGGGCTGTAATGTAATACCTCCTGTTGCTGTTGCTTTTCAGGACTTGTGCTTTGCAGACTGCTACGTCTTTTCACACGGTCTCAGAAGTGCAGCACCCCAGCACGATTACTGCGATCATGGCTGCCCTTCATGAGCGTTTTCTCGTGGCCCCTGATTGACCCTTCAGCAGCGACAGCAGTAGCGGGAATGGGGTGTATGCGCAGTTTGCCGCGCATGCTGTGCAGGTTTCAGACAGTCACGGCCCAAGTAAATACTGAGGCAAATGACCTGCTCTCCGAAGTGGCTACTTTTCTCCAGGCACAGCACCTGCCTGATGCGCTACGCAGCAGACTTCGTACTGTGCGTCAGGCTCAGCATCCCCAGGTCCAACAGACAACAGAGAAACAACAGGGGAATGAGCAGCAGCGACTGATGCAGCGTGGTCAGTATGGATGGTGCGATGACCAGGAGCAGATGCCTCCACCACAGCGGACGGGGAACGCGGGGCCTGCGGTTGCCTTCGAGTTTTCTACTGCATGCAGCCATGAGTTACTGGTACCTCCGTCTGCTGATTCCGCTGCTGCTGTTCGGGCTGCTGACCGCTAATGTACTCCCTTAGAAACCTGGTAGCGGCACGACCAGTTTCACTGTACCCTTTAGCTTAAGTCGAAGGCACTGCCTTTTGGATACGCTACTGCAGTCTGTTCAGTCCCTGGGGGGCGCTCAAAGGCTGAGGCAACAGCAAGTAATGCTGCAGCAATTGTCTGTAGATGCTGCAACACAGCTGGCCACGGTGCAGCACCAGCTCCAGAGTCAGCTACAGCTGCTGCAGCAGCAGCAAAAACAGCAACAGGACGCGGGTCCAACCGAATTCAACAAACACCAGCAACAGCAGCTAGCTGATCTTGAGGTTAAAACCCGGAAGCTGCTGGATTGCGCCTCCCTATACACCGAAAAGCTGCAGGTAAGCGACAGCGGAAAAGCTGCATGTAGTTGCTTTTGCTGGTGTTACTTCTGCACAGCACAAGGCTGTTGCTACGCATTTATGAACTTCAGCAGTAGCTGTAACAGGACCAATGGGGCATGTGTGCTTTTTGTTCGCTGATGGTCCTGCTGTGCGCAGCAAGCTCAGCAAGCCAATGAAATTATCGGCTCGCGAGTGTATGCAGCTCTGGGACCGCTGCGGCTGCCTTCGGCCATACACGTGTCTCAGAAGGATGGAGCTCCTGCTGCGCCTACAGCAAATGCTGCGGTATTACCCACCCTTGAGCAAATCCTGTGCGTAGGGAAGGACGATGCAGAACAATTGGTGCAGAAGGTGCTCCTTCACCTGCAGGGCTACCGGAAGGGCAGCAAGCAGCAGCAACTGGTACAGCAGCACCTCGATGCAGCTCATGCTGCCCTTGTTGGTCTAGAGTCCTGCATTTACACCCTACAGGAAGATCAGCACAAGCTGTGTCAGGTGAGTTCTGCTGCTCCGGTGTCACAACCACAACTTAGCCAGCTATTCCGAGGCTTCTGCTCCCACTCACAAAAAGCCAAGGAGTGCGCTCAAGTCGGTAATACGTGCCGCCGTTCTTGCAGTCATCGGAATTGCTGCCGGATCGCATACTGCAACAGCTACGGCAAGCAGCAGCAGCAGCCACAAGCAGTCAAGCAACACCCAATGTATGTACAGCAGCGGCTTCATCCAACCTTCGAGAGGCTGCGAGGCGCACCAGAGATCGAATACAGTGAGTGTCTGTGCATGCAGCTGCCGTACAAAAGCTCAGCAGCACTATAGCCCCTAGTGCCAACAACTGCTTCTGCCCTCACTGTCGTAAAATCCGGCTCAATGGATTCGCTGCTATTCTTGGTGCTGCTCTCAGGGAAGTTGCGCGTCAGCTAGAACTAGCGAAGCAGCGCTGGATGGCGCTGCTTAGCGCAGAAACCGCATCGAACGAGCTGCAGCAGCAGCTGAAGCGACAGCAAGCAGATGAGCTACAACAAGTGGTACAGCAGCAAGCGCAATCTCTAAGAAAAGCCGTCAGTGAACAGCAACAGGGGATCGCCTTCTTCTCCCAGCTACAGGAATTCTTGCACCAGCTGCAGCAGCACCAAAAACAGCTGCTCAGTGGAATGCATGCATGCATCCGCTCGGCCTACGTGCAACAGCAAGAACAACTGCACCAGCTAAAACACAAATACCCGCAGGAGGCGGAACATGAGGAGGAGAGCCCTGAACAGATCCCTCCTTGGCCCACCACCAGTTCTCTTGATGCCAGAAGCTGCCGCAGCAGCAACAGCAGCAGTGTCGGAGGTACCGCGCACTGGCGGCGTTATAGTACCGGTGCGTTAATACCTCCTAGCAGAAAACCAAGGCGCTTGAGCAGCAACAGCACCATCACCCGACAAGATAAGGATCCTGCTGCTGCATTTGTACGTGAGCCCTGCTTCCCGAATTCCAGTGCCCAGAGCAGCTTCAACAGTAAAGCGCCGCGCACAGCAGCCACGACGACAGCTGCAGAAAGCAGTACGGGGGCATCATTTGCGCTCATGCATTCCCCCATTAGGCCCCGAAGCACCAGGCACAGTAAGGGTTCCTCAGGCACTAGTCCTAGTATAATAATACCTGCAGCACCAGCACCGTGGGACCCTCCGAGAAAACCTCCTAATCCCGACACGGTGTTTGGTGGTGGAATTCCTTTTCCAGATGTACTTACAGCTCCAGATAACGAAACCCAGTAGCAAGCCACGACTTACTATGGCTGCCACCGCAGCCGATGCGTTGCGATCGCTGCGGAGAATCCAGCTACCAGAAGTGCCCCTCGTTGCAATGCGGCAGCAGTACGGGTGGCTGGCAGTGAGTTTTTGGTGAGTGCCGTTGCTGCGGCATCAGAGGCCTAACTTTCTACCGTATCTACTGTATGATACAACAACCCCAGAAGGGTGCCCTGCAGGTGTGCCCTGGAGCACGTTAGCAGCTGTTGACACGTACTCTGGTAGCTGCGCATTCGTTTCTACTAGACAGTGCACAAGAAAGCTTATTAAAACCAGTGGACGAAGTTTTAGACACCAGCTGGCGCGGATCTCCGCAGAGAGGCATGAGATCGTTTGCCTGGCGCTGCCACTGTTCCTACTACAGTCGCCTCCGCATCACGTGCAGCTTATCCTGAAACTGCAGCGAGAATAGAACTCTGAGCAGGAGTCTCTTAATATTCGGCCCCGATTCTGGCTCACTGTATTTTCGCAGTGCACCTTTGGATGCGGTGCTGCATACAGTACGACAAGAGGCCAACCCCGTTGGGAGCCTTACGCTCAAGTGTTTTACCTCTCCCGCTTTGGGCAAACCCAATGGGAGTGCCAAGGTTCTTCCCTAAACTTTGGCTGCCGTTAAAGTCGTCCAAGGCGGCCTGGTTTCGTACTTGCGCCTAACCAATTCTGCGTCTAGAACGACGCCTGCGACGGAGAGGCCTTCAAAGGATACAAACTTTTGCACATCAAATATAACGGCCGCGGGCCCCGCCACCGAGCCTTCTGAATCACTTGTGCTCAATAAACCCTGATCCTGCTGCTGCTGGTGATGATCTTCGCTCTTGGAGGACGAAGAGGCACTGCCGGAGCTCTCATGGGAAACGTCTACGGGACTCTTTCGCCCGGCTTGCTGCTTTTTGCCCTGAGGCTGCTGCTTGGTGCTCACCATCTGTGCAGCAGTTGCTAAGTCTGGATCATCTTCAAAAGAGGGTACGAAGGTACCTCGGGCCTTTCTCTGAAATGAACCACTCCCCAAAGCCCGCAGCACGCGAGCAGACACCGGAAGGTTATCTGCTTCCACCTCGTCCCTGATATTATCTTTGACCTGTGGAGAATCGCCGTCTGCGTCCTGCTTATCGGAGGCCTCCTGGGTTTGTCCTTTTTGCGGCTGCTGCTGCAAGAGCAGCAGCTCGCGCTGTTCTTGCTCACGCAGCTCTTGCAGACCCCGACGCTGCTCTTCCTCCAACTTCTTCATGGTGCCCCAGCTCTTGTCTCTCTTACTCTCCAACTCGTAAGCACCCACAGCACTAACCCTCAGGGAGCGTGCCAGGGGCCCCTCGCCGCCTGTTGATGCAGGGCTCGTGCCAGGAGCCACCCACTGTGACTCCTGCTGTGGCTCAAGACCCCATCCCAAGTCATCATCGGCCACTGGTTCTTCCACCTTCTCCACGACCTGCGTGAGCTGCAGTAACACATACCCACAAAAATGCGACAGGCTGGTAAAGAGAGATTCATACGGATGATGCAAGAGACGAGAAACACACACACACGCAACATCCCGAACGGTGAACGCATCTCCGCCAATGGCGCGATGGAGATACGCAACGAATGTATCAAGCTAAATGCAGCACTGGTTAAAAGATTAATCGAGAAGCCTTCGGGAAAATCCGCGGAGCAACATAAGAGAGAGAAGCCTCTGGCCCCCCGCACAAAGGCGGGGAGGCAAAGGCCCCTCCTCAATGCTGTGGATAATTTTCCCCACCTCAGGTGGTGCAGTGACCTTGGTGATTTTCTTTTTCTTCTTTTCGAAGAAGGCGCTTAATTTGCTCATTATGGAGAGCTACGAATTCGAACTTTAGTCAGCGGTAAGAACACCCAAAGGAGTAGTGCGCAAAGAAGAATGCAAACGGTTTTTCAAAGAGGCGAATGCATCAGGTAGAAGAAATAAACAACAAAGTGTCCCTTCAACAAAAAGCAAAACGCATGCACTGGCTATTGTACATCGCATAAATCTCGAAGTCCGGGCTTTCTAGGGCTGCGGCCCATAAGGTTGGCGCTGCCCTTACCAGTAACTCAACTCTGTGCTTGTGAACAAGCATTGGTGAAGTCTAACCCACTACTCTGCTTTGCATATTATAACATTGGTATTTTCCTCATCGGGTGTCTCAAAGGAAATGCATTTGTGTTTTTAGTTGGATTCCTAGTAGATTAGCAGCCTCTTTGCAAAGAGGCGCATAGTTTAAAAGCTAAAGCAAGCTCTCTGGCTTTGCAGTATGAATGCGCCAAAAATGTTCAATGAACTCAAAGCACGTTGAGGTTTGCACTTTACTTGGCGTATCATTATCTATCCATTAGACAACGGTATTAGGCATAATGTAGGTAGGGTGCCTCAGAGTAAATCGGCCATTAGTTTTCAGCAGCATGAGAGAGACAGCTATTTCAAACATAAGTATTGGGAAACTCTAAATCCGTCCTCATTTAATCGTCAGTGTCTGCTACTTCAACTGCATCAGATTTAATTTCAGTGCTCCATCTGAGCTCTCAGTGAGGAAACAGTTAACCGCAAACGCACTACAAACTTAATGGAAAGCTCCTAACTATTTGCTGAATAAACGTCCACTTTCCACTGCCCGCTTTCCCCAGTGCTCCCAGGATGGCATGAAAGGCACAGCCAGGGTGTCCGTATTTGCATCCTGTATGAACTCCGAGCACTCACAGCAATTTGCAAATAGCATCTAGCGAGCACAACACTGTGTTCGTTTGTATCGGGGTAGAAGTATTCTGCAATAACAGAGGGCCCAACTAGCTAACGCTGTAAGAGTGCAGTCAAAGGTATTTCAATAAAGCGTATCCCGCTACACATGATAACTCAGTGGCTTCAGAGCTGCTGAAAAGCCATAATTTGTCATTCTGTAAAATCTTAATGGATTCCTCGATGTTTTCAGGCCGACCAGAAAAGTACGACGGCCGTAATGTTAGGCAAGTAGTCGAAGTTTTCCTAGTTGCAGAGGTGCCTTACTTGGCAGCCCCCAAAGAGAGAAACGAGTGCCCTCTGCGACATGTTTGTTGGAAAGAAAAAAGTGTAAGTGAATTGCGGTTCCGTTCAGTTAGAGAAAGCAGTCTAGTGGAACATATTTTTATGTGCCCTGCTTCATCGGTTTATGCCGAGATGAGGTCAACGGCAAGCTGTGGGCGAGTTGTGGACGCTGAAGCAGGGAGACATATCGAAAGGTTGGAATACCAAGAAAGGTCAAGCTTTGGCGAGCAGAATTCAAAAAAAATTCGTTAGTAATAGCGTTTACCAGGCCCACGCGAAGTGTCACGTCAGGTGGGCGAAGGATGGATTGCAACTCAGCGAGTATAGAGACCAGACCGACCACTAGGCTTCCACCTATGATGAACTACATGGGGCTTCAGGGACCAATGCACATCCCTGCGATGTTTGCTTTTTGAAGAAGGCGAATGCCGTGAATTTGGATCTCGGAGGCGTCAACCGACCATAGCAACGGACTTAGATGACCAAGAAAAGAAAGCCAAATGGAAACTCACAGTTCTGAGTAGCCTGAGACAGTTTCCCAGCAGCGCACGTGCTTCTATCAAGAAAAGTTGGGTCGCATAATCCAAAGCTCAGATCACATGAAAAATTCTTAAAGAACTTGAGCAGCGGGACTGAGCCTAAGGGAAGCAGGCTGCCTGACGAGGAAAAAAACGCATTAGGGGAGCGGAAAGCCCTTACGCAAGATGCAACGCAATGAAGGGGGTTACAGAGGACAGAATCGCAGTATGAGACTTACCACAGGCCGATTCCGCGCTGATACAAGCTCACATTAATGGTTAAGAATTGCTGGCGCTACTTGAATGTGGATGTGAGGTGGGTCTGTCTTCCAAGGTCGAAGGGCAAGAGCTCAATTTGCCTGTTCACTCGGAAGCGCAATCTCCAAAGCTAGAGCTGCTAACAGGAGGCATAATGCAGCCATTGGATTGGATGCTGCATCCAATTACCAATCCAAATGGAAAGGAGTCCTATTAGCAAGGTCCGTGACTTTCATGTTCTCCCTGTGCACCATGACGCAAATGGCATGCTATGGGTGTCCCAATAAACTTTATATGCAGCCACATTTGCGTATTGTTAGTGTAGCGGGAGGCGCTAGAAGCAAACCTTAATGGTCTGCTCAGCAACACGCATTTAAAATGTGATGAGTAGGGAAGAGCTGGAACCTCGAAAAGGCGGGGAAGGTCCTTAATGCGGTCCCCTTAGCAGCCCACCAGAAAAAGGCAGTCCCAATCATGCATCCTGTTTTAGTAGCTCCACAACTGGCTCCTTACAAGATTTAATAGATATTTTGGCCCAGGAATTGCAGGAATAAATAAATTTCAAGGCGTTCACTGACGTGTTAAAAAGTTACAAGCTGCCAGCTGGCAGGCAACCTTCTGGTCTTCCTGCGCGCCGCATTGAGCTAATTCCCAGGTCACTCCCAAGCTGTTTTCCGAGATAACTAAGGCTTCCGTTGCTCTAAGGGAAGACGGATTGGCAAGCGAACGATCTGTTGAAAAAAGCAAAGCTGCAAGAATCGATCAGCTTCTTTGAGCAAAGCCCAGTGTTGGTGCCGGAAAAGAGGAAACGGCAGCATACATGGGTCAACTTTAAGCCTCTGAACAAGGGCAATGTAAAGCAATACTTTCCGCTGCCTAATACTAGTGAATTATTGACAAACTACACGAATCAACAGTCTACTAGACAACTGATTTCACTGATGCCGTCTTACAGATCCTTAGTAACCCGTGTGACACTGAAGGGCGCTGTCACATCAGCTCTCACAAACTCCGGTGTACCTACATACTTTGGATTCGTCAATACCATACTTGACCTGCAACTGCCAGCCACTGTGGAGCATTAGGAGCTTATCAGGTAGTAGTGCATGGCGTTTATATGGAAGATGCCGTAGTGGTGGACCACCCTTGAAGAGCACTTACAGCGCGTTGAGCGTGCGCTTCAGCTGTTGTAGGATAAGCAGCGCTATCTTAAGGCATGTAGCGTTTTGCATTTATATGGGGGCGATCATATTCGGACAATCAATGTCTCAGCCGTAGGAATTAAGGCCAAGCCGGTAAAGGTTGAAGCAATCAAGGGCGTGGCCTTTACCTTTGCGCACCCACAAGAAAGCCGTGAGCTTCTATGGGCTCGTACCTGATAACCAAAATTTCAATTCTGCATTTTCTTGTATTGCAGCTCCATTGACGGAGCTAGATAAGAAAACACAGTGTGTTGCCTGGATAGATGCTCATGCAGCAACAACGGCGCTGATCAGCCACCTTTTAAGTCCACCGAAACTTGCAATGCTCGTTTGTTGGCGCCATTTCTTCCTAACGACCGATGATAGGAACGTAGCGACGGGTGCTGTAATCTTCCCATCAGGGTTTGCAAAGGCACTGAACAATCGCAAATTCCGCTTATTGCCTCATCGAAACCGAGCAGCATCTACTACGGTAAAGGTAATGTATGCGGCTCCGGAAATTTAGATGGGCGTCGTTTCACTTTCCAGACCAGCCCTATGCCTAATATTCCACGAGAAGGGTTTTCAGGACTTTGGTAATGCCCTTACCAATCCTCGCTATCAAGTCGTACTGCAGAATGCTATTACGCCAGCAAACAACTCTAGACTGAGTAACGTGGTCACCTGAGGGCTCTCGAGACGCCTCAGCGGTACGCTGTTGTGCAGCGCTAATGCTGTTGTCTGTGATGACTTATGGATTCGACCGAAATTGCGTGAGTCATGCTTTCGACACCTATGTACACGTCTACTGTCAAAATCTACGATGGTAGAACGGGAAGGCACCGTCACGCTGAAGAAGACGCTGTGGTTTACACCAAAGGGCAACCTCTGTTAGTTGTACATTTGGATTTTGCTGTGCAGTGAAGTTTTTTAAAAAATTGCATGCTTTAATTTTTGTCCATGGTGGGGTTCAGACTCTAATAAAAAATGCTCTTTCTGGTGGCCCGGAGTGTGTCCAGCGACAGCAGAGTTTGTAAAATACACTGACCAGATTGTACTCTGCTGAAGCCGAGTACCACATCTAAACTCGAGTTTCCACAAAGCAGAAAGATTTCAACTACTCTTCCTATGGAAATTTTCCTGGACTCTCGGATCTCAGGATTCGGGATAGCATTTAGGTCATTTTCGACAGCCTCAGCAAATATGCTCACTTAATTCCTTGTTCCTTCTCTCTCATGGCTCAAGAGTAGGTCAATTACTCGTGACTTATGTCCGGAAGCGTCTTCGATTCCCTAGATGTATCAATTGGGATAGGGCAAAATATTTTTGGCGCGTTCTGGCATGCCTTTATGACCCGCATACGCACTGACCATGGTACGACGACTGCGAACAACTCTGAGGAAGAAGGGCAGAGAGCTTGCACCAAGCGCACTCTTCTACACTATTCGCGACTCTATACTTACAGAAATCCAATTATTTGGATTACTTTTTTTGTTTGCTCAGTGGTTGTAGAATACAACAGTACGCTCGTCTGCCTGCTGCTGTCCCTCATCCCTGCCCTACGCTGAGGGGCTCTTCTTCGATCCGAGCCACGTTCTGATCAGCTGGAGTCAGTAGCAACCCCCAGCCCACAAGGAGTTCAGGGACAACCTGGCTAGTGCACGCGAATATATGGAGAGCTCAAGAGAGAGAAACACGCAGCTTTGATTGGTGGCGGTCGGTTGTGTGCTTCGAGCGTGTACTTTCGGTCGTGGCAGGTCGCCAGGCTGTACAAAGCTCACCAGAAGGGGACTGGAAGGACAAGCTTGGAACAAAGTGGCTAGGACCGTTTGCAATTTTCCTACAAATCAATGCACTTTGTTCATCGATTATTGCTAAACGCTGAAAGCCTCACAAAACCATTAGTATGGGCTTTGAACGAAGTTTTTAAACTTCCTGAATTCTTCGCCGACACTTCCTTGCAGAAAAGTGACTGGTGAGAGGAGAAGAAGCACAGGGAGCCGTAGAGGTGATGCATTATAGGAATATTGAGCGACGAGGACACATTTGACGGGAGCTTCTACTGTGTTGGGGTTGAGAACACCAGGCTCAAGGGTTGACCGGGGAGCTACTGCGGCCTTCGTTGCCTGCGGGTGTATGTGCGGCTCTGCTTGCTTAGCAGTGCCAGTCTCCATGTGAACTAGTCTTTTGGTCCTTCGGTAACTATCCTTCCCCGGTGCATGCCGTGTTTAAAATAACCACCTTCGGCGATGTGTACCGGTTGAGATGTTTCGGGCTACTTATGGTTGAGGTCTTCACCAGACTTGAGCGCAGCCATTCTAAGAGGTGGACTCTCTACACCCCTCCCTGTGCCCTTTTCAAAGCATTGAAGAAGACTGTATTGCATGCTCCGGCTGTATTGGCACGCAGAGGTTGACTTAGGGGGAATGACGGCACTGCTTGGTGAGTGTTTATTTTGAATCCCTTGAAGGCGTTTATTTCCTATGTTTTCTCACAGCATGGGGCTCGCATATCTCAGCGCTGCAACGACAGCCATCCATCGTGCCGCCTTGCTCCTGCTGGCTTGGGCTTTTGTTCATTTTTGGCTAGTGTGTGTGATTCTTCGCTTTAGTTTCACTTCAGCGATTGATGCACGCATTTGCGTTTCTCCACGTTCCGGCCTGCCTGGGGAGTGGCGGCAGATCGCGAACATTTTTACTGTCATATACGCAGTTTGCCTCGACGTACAGATTATTAACGAAATGCCGTGTCTTCGCCATGAGGGAAGATGTAGTGGGCTAAGCTGCATTTAAACGTCTTCTATTATGCTAATTTCATTAAATAAGTAGTTGTGACTATTGGCTTGTATGGTTGTACATCGTATGGTTGAACATCCTTTTTTACAGAGAGCTGTTAGCTCTCTACAAGTATACGCAACTTTTTCTCCCCCTGCACTATATGCCAGGTGCAGCTAGCCGTGATTGCCTGGGGTGCTTGGTGGATGCGGCTAGGCGCAGCTGGCTGTGCCTCTTCTCAACTCGAGAACTGTCAAGGAAGTGAAGGGCGGAAGCATTAACATAAACAACTACTAGCTTCCTAATAAGTCTGTTTTTAGTTGGGAGCTAAGTGTCTCCTTGCGGACATATGAGATTGTGTGCTACATAAGCGGTGTGTACGGAACGCACTTCCTCCATTGCGTGCGCTCACTGTGACCTGCTATAGATCCTCCTGGTGCCACTCTTGTACAGCAGAAGATTTTGACGAAGCCCCAGCCTTGTACTTCCCTTAGTCGTCCATATCTTCTCTGCGTTAGACAATGCCTCCATCGACATGCGTCCTAGGTGTGTTCTCTGAATGATTTTCGAGCTATATCGACTAACTCGAAACTTAAGATGTCCCATTACTTGTATTTAAGATTATTTGTGTGCCAGCACAGAGTATAGATTGTGGACGAATTAGCAGACGCTTGTATCCAAGCCCATTACATAGTGGTCAGACAGACACCCACCGTTTGGTTTGTAAAAGCAGTACACATACACACAAAGAGTAAATGTTAAGCTGTCTGTATCTCTGTTTGCCTTACTTTCTTTACCCATTATTAGGCCCTTTCACTAAAATTCTCCATGACTTGCCACTGTGCAGCCCCCATTGACCCAGCCTGCCTGAGCTGCAGCGTGCATGCAATATTCGTGTGGTGTCCTACACGCCCTTTTTGGTAATTCAAGCTACTTTTTTTGTGTTCTGAATCTTCTGGATGACTCTGCACAGCTGTGCAGGGTGGTGGTCGACGCCTTACCAGGTAAGCGGAGAAACCTGAAAGAATGAGTGACAGCGGTAAAAAGAGAGCAGGACAGGGCTGCTCCCTTCTCCACATTCTTTCTGTAGGGGCAAGTAGTCAGAACCTCTTATGGAATTTACTGTCTGTCGACGGCTTCTGATCCCGAAGGGAAACTCTGGCTCGTCAAAACGCAAAATCCCCTCCACAGCGAGATTCCCCTCCACTTCTCGCTCATGGCAGCGAAACTCTCATGCAAAATAACTGCAGGGATATACATGCTGGGAGAGTGAAGAGGAAATAAAAAAGGGGGGAGACAGGGAAGTCTCGGGAAGGAAACGTATATGGGAAGAGGAGTCGGAGTGCGGGAGAGCTGTGCTGCAGTGAATGGCCCATTTGAATCAATGACGAGCCCTTTTGTGTGTGGCTGCAGTGGAAAACCCGTATGTTTGCATGCGTGGCTTCAGCTATTGGAGAGTGAATCCTATGCTTCTCACGTTTCACGTGCACTCCCTGACAGAGTGCCCTCACCCAATTTTTTTTGCTGGGGCGCATCCTGCACGTATACACTTGTCTTTTCTATTTCTTGAGTTTTGTGACACCTCAAATGCGCTTCCCTGACTCGTTCCGCATCAGCATATATGCTTTTTACCTGATGTTCACCCATTGGGATCAAATACCCGCCCCCTCTATCCGAGCTGGGCAGGGTCGGTCTTGTAATAGACTGCAGCCCCAATCCTTTCTGCATTTCCCTTTGTACTCAGCTTGATAGGCGCACTAAAAGCGTCATTTGGCGTGCATTTTTTGCAACCTTATGGTTGCACTGAGGAGGAGCAGCAGTAGCACCAGCAGCAGGCAGCTCCCCTTAACTCCACCACCATGACTGGCCAACCGGGCGCTGGGGCACCCCCGAGTGTGGAGGACGAGGAGAAGGCGCGTGCTCTTAGGGCATATGTTGCCAAAGTCAAGGAACACCGAGAGTGGGGTGCCAGAGTCAAGAAACGTAAGCGTCCTTGCACCTGGGCGGTCTCTGAACTGCGGGCAGGGAGTTGCAGTCGCAGCAGCCCACGCTGCAAACTGAGTGGCTTCACCTGGAAGAGCGGCAGTGGGCGACGGCGGCTTTTTGGCTTTCCCTTTGTGCTCGCAGTGCGCGATGAGACAAAGCTGCAGTCGAAGAAATACGAGAAGACAGAGGATGACCTGAAGGCTTTGCAGGGAGTAGGGCAACTGATAGGGGAGGTCCTTCGTCAGCTGGATTCAGAGAAATGTGAGTTCGGTCCTCCTGTAGTTGTGATGCGGGTGCGGCTGTCTCCCACGTCTGCTCCTTTCTGCATGCACCTGGAATGTCGGTAGCCGTACATGTTTGTTCTCGTGTGTTTCTGCCAGTTATTGTGAAGACTTCCAGCGGCCCTCGCTACGTGGTGGGCAGCAAGCCAAAACTCAACAAGTCGCTGCTTACCGCGGGGACTCGTGTGGCACTGGTGGGTTATCTCGCTTCTTCTAACCACAGATGAGCTACCACTATGCGGTTGCTAGACTAATTGCTTCCATAGTAGGCCCGGCCACTCCCTTTGGTAGTCATTCCATCTCACCCTCTATTTTTAGGTGTCCGTGAGATTTCTAGTGCGTACTCTAGCTTTAGAATCCGCGTTACGAACGTGTACCTGGCTTTCTTTACATTTTATCAATATTTCTTGGGTCGTTCGTTTGTGGAAGGTGGAAGGGTCACTGTAGTTTTCGTGGTGCCCGGTCTGCTGCAGCGGCAGCGTCAATTTCAGATGTTTACATCGTGACTTCCCATGCCGCACTTGTTCCCTAGCCCAACATGATTATACAGCTCATCACTTCACAGGATGCTCCCCTGCGTCTGATTGTTGGGGCTCCTGCTAACAGGACATGACAACTCTGACAGTGATGCGCCGTCTACAGCGGGAAGTAGATCCCCTTGTGTTCAACATGCTGCATGAAAACCCGGGCAATGTGCATTACGCGGAGGTGGGGGGCCTCACGGAGCAGATCCGTCAAATGCGAGAAGTCGTAGAGCTGCCCCTCACAAACCCGGAGCTTTTCAAGCGCGTTGGCATAAAAACTCCTAAGGGAGTTCTTTTATATGGACCCCCCGGGACTGGAAAGACGCTTCTTGCCAGGTGCAGTCCTTCTCGTTTCTTCCATTGCTTTTCTTTTACCTTTCGTGCCATTCTTAATTTGCTTTGTAAATTCATTGGACGTTGGACTGCTTGGGTGCGACAGGGGCTTCTGAAGCTCTTTGTCCGCTTGTCCTGGCGTTTTACCTATGCATAGTATATAAGCGTGCATGCCTGCACTCTTTTTTCTTCTACTTTACGAGTTGTTATTTCCCACGATATCTATGAATTCCGCGAGCATTATTCAAGTTTCTGTCTTTGTGGACTCTAACTGCCTAGTCATGGCTCTTCCATGCCACAGCAAGGCGGATATACTGTGTTTTTTGGCATCATCTTGCGCCTGCCATTCCTTCCCCTCAACTTCCTCCACGCAACTGGACCCTCATGCGATACGTTTCTTGTCTGAAGGGCAATGGCTTCGAACATGAGCTGCAACTTTTTGAAAGTCGTAGCATCTGCGATCGTCGACAAATACATAGGGGAGAGTGCTAGAGTCATCAGAGAAATGTTCGGTGAGCTGCAAGCTCCGATTTGGGGCTAAGTGTTTTTTAAGCGGGCATCCTTGTTTCCACAGATGTAGTCGAACGGCAGCCAAGTCAGCTCCCCACTACTATTTTCATGTTATAACAGGTTTGGCCTCATTATTAAAGCTTGCAAATTCGTCTTGTACGTCTCTTCCACGTGTTAGTGTGCGTTAGTGTACTCTTCCGCTTTTCGTTTCGTATGCCTGCTTTTTAAAGCCACTTCTCCTTACTGTATTCCTCATTTTGCGTTAATTCTCTCCCCTTCGTAGCCCTTGTGCTTGTTGCATTTTGGCTCCGGTATATCGAATAATATTTGTACCCAATTTACGCATCAGGCTACGCCAAGGAGCACCAGCCATGCATCATCTTTATGGACGAAATTGACGCTATTGGGGGCCGCAGGTTCTCTCAGGGAACGTCTGCCGACCGCGAGATTCAAAGAACACTAATGGAAGTATGTAGTGATGTTGCGTACTCTATGCTGTACTTCTACGCATATCCTTATGCATCAGTGGCACTTTGATGCTACCTCAGGTGCCCATGTCCAGCGGCAGGCGAACTTGCTGCAGAAAAATACTTTAGGCCAATTCGGTTCCATCTTTTGCCTCCCCTATTCGCTTCCCGTTGTTCTTGGCAATGGCGATCTTGGATGTTGTCTGTCATCTGCATCTGAAGTTGCCACATTAGGGTCGCTCGTGCCTAGTATGGTTTGCTGTTGCCTCTTGTTTTGCTAACTTCACAGCTTTTGAATCAGCTGGACGGCTTCGATGAATTGGGTCAGGTAAAAATAATCATGGCCACCAACAGGCCTGACGTTCTCGACCCCGCACTCATGCGCCCTGGAAGACTTGGTACGAATGCAACAAAAGAGCCAGCTCGCTACTTGACGTTCTCCCTTTATTATAGTTCGGAAATCTACCTTCTCAGGATCTGATTAAGGTTTTTCAAATCACTGTTGTGACGATGGTGAAGCATCTACATTTGTTCTCACTATCATACATGCGTGCCCTGCTGGCTGTCAGTGAGCTTAGTCCTCTTGTTCGACGTTGTGCCTTGTGATGAAAGTGAGCAAAAATCTTGCATGTTCCATTCTCGTTGCTAGTAAAACTTGTCGACTTTCAACGTATTCTAGAAAATTCTGTCCCTATCAGTTTTGTCCTTCCAAGTATACACCCTTTTCGCCCTGCAGATCGCAAGATTGAAATACCTATGCCAAATGAAAGTGCACGAGTTGACATCCTTAAAATCCATTCAAATAAAATCTCCAAAAGCGGAGACATCGGTAAGTCGCATTACTGCTCATCATCTTGCTAGCAAAGCATCTGTTCGCCTATACCGCTGTATTTCTTATCTCGAAACTCGGTGGGGAATAAGCAGGTGTCCTTGATGAATCGTGTCTGTGATGCAAGGCGTAGCAAGCCAAAGCCACATTCACTCAGTTCTCGTCGAGTTCAACATCCTAGCTTAATTGATGGATCTGTAGTTTTGTCTATAGGCGATATCAAGCTCAAAATTACCCAGTGGCTGAGCATTCAAGCTAGCTCCGCTGATCGTTGTAAAATGCGGTTTTTTTGTTCAGATTTCGAGGCCATTTGCCGCCTTTGTGATGGATTTAATGGCGCAGATCTACGAAATGTCTGCACTGAAGCTGGTACGCCTTGTTTGTAAATCATTTTTATCCTTTCGCTGAGAAACCGTAAACTTAGCGTCGTACAAGCTTTTATGCAGTGGTGCATGCATACGTATGAACTTCACGTAAAGTTTGTTTATCAGTACGTTGATTTTTACAGTGTATCGTTTTTTGCTTGTATCTTCGTAGTCATGTGTATGTAAACAACCACGGTTTCGAGGATTAGCACTGCCCAAGTAAACATTTGTATCCCTAGTATTGGTTGATGTGTTCGTTTTATTACGTGTCTTCAGGGATGTTCGCGATTCGCGCTGATAGGGATTATGTCATAGAGGAAGATTTCTTCAAGGCCGCACGGAAAATCGCAGAAAACAAGAAACTGGAAAGCAAGCTGGACTACGAGAATATTTGAACATGCACAAAGGAAGCAAAGCGACAAAACGGGGGACTCCCCGTGCCGATCACAAAATGCATTCTCGCTTCCTATCAAGTGCTTCTTAAAGCAGACGCTTGTATTTTGTGCACTGCCCTGACTTAAGGCTTCAGTCTTTTCCTTGTCCCTCTAACCCTTTGAGTAGTCGTCTTCTCCTTCCCGTCGTGCCGGTGTACGCGATTTGTGCCGAAGGCAGGAGTGCAATTACTCCCCGCAAAGCCCTTGAGGCATTGTTGCGCCATGGCTCTGTGGCGTAGCAAGAGACACTTTGTTCGAACTAAATAAACATCACGCGTCAATTCTGACAAAGTGCATTGTAGCGCCGGCAGTGCCGCCGGTCTGCTTCCCCCTGAGCATCACCAAACGGTCATGAGCCGTTCCCGAGTAGAGTGAAAGAAGCAGCACTTTGGCTTGAGTTTATAAGTAATGAGCAGCACTTTCCAGAAAACTAGGGTTCCGCTGCCCTGATATTCTCATAATCTTTCTTGTCCAATGGTGCTATCAGCATATCTAGTCGAGAGTTCTGGTCGTGTGGCGATGCAACCATGCGCAACGGCCTCCTGCGAAGGTATTATCATGGATTTCGCCTGCTTCAATGCACGCTTGCCGCCAGCTAGCGAATGTCCACTCAGAGCCCTCAATAAATGCAACCTAAAGCATTAGCTGCCGTGAGTTTATCATTACATCAGGACTGTCTGCAGCGTTTGCCGCTCTACCTCGAGCACAGGAACAATTATTACTTGCATCCAGTTAAACTCAGTCAAGACCTGCTCCTTGATGGCAGCAGCAAAAGAGGGAGCGTCAATATGTGATGCCCCTCTGGATAACACGGACACCCACAGGGGGGGCCCCAGCTGTCCTCAGCAGTGAGGTGCGGAAGCCCCAGCCATAAATATTCAGTGCCTCACTAGCTCCCTCCCTCCATCACAAGCCCCTAAATGTGAATTCCGCAGGCCTGTTACAGATAGACGCTGGCTGGCGGTGACTGGCGCCGTTTGGTCCTCCGCTTTGTGTCCACTTTGGTTTCGATCAAATTCCCATGGCGCGTTCAATAGAGTCGTGCACAGTCAGCATGGGTCCTCCCTCCGTCTCTGGTTTGTCCCTACCAAGGTAATCCTCGGTTATTATTTGGTCGTCCAGAGCCATTACGGTCTGAAGGCCCCAGAGGGAAGAGGAAAGGCCAGGCAAGCGCTGTGTCGTTGCGCACATCTCGCGCTCTGTTTTAAGACGGAGAGCCGCATGTGCGCCAAAAGCCGCTGTTACACGCTCCAATTGCTGCCGCTCAAGCTCATGGAGGTACTTCTTCTGTTGTAACTCAAGAGGGTGCAGGGCCACTCCACTGGATGGGGGGGCCCCACGAACATTGGCAGCGGAGGGTCCATAGCCGTCTTGTAGGGAGCTGTTCAGCAAGCCACCGTCTAAGCACGCTACCCGCCTAATGCCACCGATGCCGCTTGATGTAGCAGCTGCAGATGCTGCCGAAGCGGCGTAATCCATTATGGGAAAATGTGAAAGAGGGAGGCGAGGGGGAGGAGAGTAACACAAGAAAGTGTGCGAAGAGTGCCCGTCTTGTGTACGTTTATGCAGCTTCAGATGTATTAGAGCTCAGAAATATATAAAAATACAGCAGCAAACGGAAGCGAAACAAATGGATCTCGGTTGCCGCATGCAACTGAACAAGTGAGTGCATGGGTGTCCGGGCACGAGGCGCCTGGGAGGTGTACTGGCGGGAGTAACACATTGAAGCCATGCAGACTTCCAACTGCCATCTGACGCGAAGTTTCTACACTGTAGGAAGGCATCACAAAAAAAATTTAGACATTGGATGTACACTAGGTGCTACAGTCAGGAGCAGCTCACCCGTCGTGTGATCACCTACTCCTTCTCATAAATGTTGTGCTAGGCGCCATTCCTCGGCCATTGCGCATCTCTTCGCGTTTAATGAGTTATCAAGTCGTAGTATAGTCATGCCCTTCAAAAGCAGGAATAATAGAGACTCCATCTACACATCAACATTGAGCCTATCCCTTCTGTGTGTTCCAGCTGTCGGCGCATGCTCGCGTCCCCCTTCCACCATTATTTTCCACTGTGCCTTGAACTAAGGCATTTCCTTGGTCTCTTCCATCCACCTTAACCAAATTATCCTGCAATTTTTTCGTCTTCCAGCACCTCACATCCAAGGAAGTTCTTCGCTACCCCCGACGGGCGTCCGATAGATCTTCCTGTATTTTCCCTCGGTTGCATCCATTACACTTGCTGTAAAGCCTGTGATCTAACGCATCTAATCGAATAAATGGCAACGGCAGACATGAATGAGGCAATCTCCCGTGTCGCTGCGAAGAAGACGGAGTGGGCATGTTTGTCCCCCGCCCGGAAGCTTGAGATCCTGGATTTGCTCCTGGACAACCTATATGCCCACTGTGAAGAGCTTCAGGAGGCTTCTATAATCAAGAGGGATGGCGAGACAGACACTGCGCCAGCGTACGACGCCCTGGAACCCCATGAGCTCACGGCGTTGCAAAATTCATCCAGGTCTACCCACTGGCTCCACTCGAGCATGGTACTTTCGGATAACTCTAATCCGTACCTTTCGCCTTTAAAGTGTACCTGCAGGATCGAATTTTGGATTTTGATTGATAAGCGGGCTCTGCAGAGTCAAACAGTTTATGGCATATTCTGGGCCCTGGGTAGCTTCATGGTTGAAGAGTTTGTTCCCCCACTGGAGGCCTGAAATCGAGGCATTTTTTACTGCATGGTGACGGTGTTTTCAGCTTATTGGAAACTGGCTGGTCATCATTCGCGAGTACTTTGAAGCGGTCGTTAAGACGGGGGCCCCGCCGAAGCCTGTGGCAGTACGGGAGATGCCGACTGAAGAAGGGAAGCCGCAGCGATTCCTTGTGAAGGTAATGCACTCCGATGATAAAACAACCTGTCATGGGGTTCCGCGCTTCTTTCACTTTTCAGTGTAAAGGCTTCCCGCTTTCCGCTCCCCGGACCCACTACTTGTATCTCCGATATAGAAGCAGTGGTCTCTCATGCCCATAAAGAAAGCAGGCCACTAGAATCCAACGATTGCCCAAAGGTCTTCGAGCGCCTGACTACGACTGTGGCTAATTAATGGCGGGTTGTCATGTGCAATTTGCGCCTCTCGAAGGTTGGTCCTCAAGGTCTACTGCACACGACTTTGGTGACTTACGGGTCCATGGAGTTGATGGTGGAGGGCCCCGTCGAACAGGAGATGCTACACGAGAAACCCCCCGGAGTCTCAGCTATTTTGGGCGCAGGCAACTGTGGGCACGCACTTTGGAGATTCAAAGGCCAAAGGGCGCACGATCTAGGGCGTTGGGCCGTTTGCCCGAAAAAGAGCATATAGCTAGAACCCAGTCCGACTAGTGGGATGCGTTTGTTGTGTGCATCGTTTTGAACGGAATTCGTGCATCACGCACCGCGAATATGGCTGCATCTGTGGTTGTGTGCAAGCAAATCATGCCGCTTTGCACACTGATTTAATGCTGAATTTCAGTGTTCTCGTTCGGGGTGGCAGCACGATAATAGTCACAGTTCCGGCAGATGGGACGGAGGGTGCATTGCCACGCCAGCCGTTTTGCTTTTTGTTGCAGTCGATGGGCCCATAGATTTGCTGACTTCTCTATTCATAGAAAATAGAGTTTGCGTGTACAAGGTAAGCGAGATCCACCCCGCTACACGCCTGTATTGGCTGATAACCTGTGGACGCAAAACCTGCGAAATGCAGCTCTTCAGGCCTTGGCGAGAAGCACAAGGCCTGTAGGTAAAAGCACTTAAAAGCATGCACACGGTGTTCTGCAATAAAGGATTGCTGTATTCTCTGGTTGCACAAGGGCCATCGGGAAATTTTGGGGAGTCAGCGTAGGCGCACTCCTACTTGTGACCGGATTTGAATACTTAGCGATTGCCCTTTAGGGGGCTGCATCATGCGCACCTGTTTTCAACCGGAAGTTCAAAACCTCTGTCTGTTCAGGTGAGCCCATATAATTCTCTTTTGCTGGATCCTTTGAATAAAGTTTTCGCGCCTCTGACTGAAAATGGATACGCTGCCTTTATTTATGGCGGTCCCGATGAGGGCAAGGCTCTGCTGAACCACCCAGAGGTCGACAAATGGTACATGACAGGTGGGAGCACCGGCCGCCCCTCCTGCCCCCGTTTCACGAGGGGCATTTGCAGGCTTCCAAATTCTAGTAAAGCGCACAGGGAACCGGGAGCATGCGTTGCTTCTATCGGATAAGCATACCAGCCATTGACCTGGACTGTATGTCACGCACTTTCGCGGGGGCATGTGCTTGTTTGTGCGCAGGGTCAGCGGCCACTGCCTATACTATCCTTTGGGGCTCCCCTACACCCCCTTCCTCCCCAGCAGAGCCACTGCTCAATAAGGATATGACTGTGGAACTGGGGAACTGCACGCCATGGATTATCTGCCCAGGCAAATGGCAAGCCACACCACACTGAGGCTTTCATTTTGTGCATGCTATATCACTGCACTCAGTTGGCTAGGGGATATTGGGATGCTGATGCTTTCACTGAGGGCCAAGGGTCTATGATCTAGACAGTAGGGAGGATAGCCGTTCGAATGTGATGTACTATGCTGCATTGTCTGAGTAGGTCGCAGAGGCAGCTAAAGTGGCATGCTTCCGTAAGCTTATGCTTCCTGATACATCTGTGACACTTTCCATCTGTCCTTCGAAATTTGTCCTTCAAAGTCAAGCAGTTTACTTTTTTGCACGCTACTTCTTATATATGAAGTGGGACATTCGGCAGATCTTCTGGGGCGTCAACGCATAAAAGCAGAAGTGATCACGTGTACCCTCTAGCGCAGTGAAATAATCCGAAAATTTTTATTTGCGCAAGTGATCACTCAGGCGATCGCTGCCGCTATGAGTTTTAACGGAGCCCATATCTGCGCGCATCCGCAAGTCCTCGTAACCTGCAAGAATTGGCCTCAGAGGCAAGCTACTTTTGCAACACAGATGATGAATACCGTAAAGACGTTGCATGTTAAATGCGATATCGCATGCCCCTGGGTGGCGCATGTAAGTTTCGAGGCTGTTTTCTTGATATTTCAGGAGCTGTACCACTAGAGGATCTTTTAATGTTCATTTGGCACTATCTGTCCTGAACTACAGTATCGGATGGTTGTCCATACACCTTGAATTGTACTGTTACTTCTTCACTACGTCTGTCCTGGTTGTACGGCGACTGAGGCTTGACCAGATTCAAGTGGGCCCACAAGGTATATAATATGCCAGATTCTCTCTCTCTCTGCGCAGGAAAGAGTTCTTGCAGCTGATTCAGATGTGCATTAACGAGATCAACTACGTTGGGTGTTACTACCCGGACTTTGTTGCACGGATGGAGTCAGTGGCATGAGAGCACCGACCTTGGACCACTCTTTAGTTGGCATAACGTTCTATATCCGTGTTCCCTTCTGCCTCAGCATTGCATTTTGGGAAGGTGCAGTAAAATGATTGAGCGAAGCGGAAAGGCGTTTTTGGATCGACGGTTTAAATGTGCTTACTACCAAGAAATCGTTGCTGCAGATGTTCCTTTTTGCCACACGCCTACATGTGCAGCGAGACTCAGGTCGAAGAAGATTCGGGTTGAGGGTTTAAAATTTAAGTTTTGTCATTTGCGTCTTTAGGTCAACCAAGCGACAACTTATGGAATTGGGAAGGAAACCGGAGGATTTCGAGATTCAAGTTCAATGCCCTCTTTCAAAAGATACAGACATAAAGTGTATTATTTTCGCCACTGACCTTCCTGAGGATTGTTTCTTCACCCAGCAGGTTAGCCTTGAGAAGCGTTACTTGGAAGTATGGGCAGCAACTTCCCTTGAATCTATCTGAAACAGAGAGCACAGGTTCATGTGCAGAATGTAATTCTTTTTGTCTACAGTAATGCCTCCTTGACAGTCTTTTATGGGATCCTCCCATTCCTATCGATTCCTCTATCCGCATTCCCGACTTCTTGCTCATTCAGGAAACCTTCTCTCCGTGCTGCGGTGAAGTGCAACTGGATACGGACGGGACCATTGAAGCGTTCCTTCCCGTTGCAGTTAAATATGCCAATGAAAAAGTGCACGGTGGTCTTTCTGTCAGCGTCTCAGTGAAGCCTATTACACCAAAAGAGGAACAGGTAAGCTGTTTCCGGGTTTCTTGCTTCTAAAATTTCGAACAAGTGTTCCTAATCCATCATTCTTCTGGTTTCAATGTTTTCGAGGGCTACCAAATGCTCGGATTACTAATTATACCGCAGTCTGCATCGATTTCTAGGTTTGTATTTACTCGACTTCTAAAGATGTTTTTATTGGACAGTAGGCATGTCGCCCGCCTCAAGAAACCTATTCATTCCCCACCATCGACTGCACGTTCTCTTCCTGCAGAATAATGCATGGCTAAGATAAAAATATTTGAATGTTCTTTAGCGGAAAGGTTGCTGGCAACGGGTGCCTTCTAGACCCCAAACCAATTGTTGTCTAGTATGCCAGCACGAACAGTTTTCTGTGAGGAGCTTCTTGGGAACTCTGGGCTATGGCGCTGCGTGTTCTTGCAGGCTGTTGAACAGGCAATAGCGGACCTGGAATACGGTGCTGTACATATCAACACGGACAGCAAGCTCAGCATTGCATTTCCGTCGTTAATATGGGGGGGTCGCCCAGGTTCTAACATATACAACCTGAACTCTGGAATAGGATTTGTACGGCATTCATCATACTGTGCCCGAAGTATACTGACATTCTGTATCTGTGTTAGAGCCTGTTACCACCCAGTGGCCCATTCATAATTGTGGCATTTGTTTTCTGTTAGATTGGAAACTGCTTTGGCTTCAAGAGGCCGGTTAAGTCGGTCGTCCGCGCACCTATTTTAAACTTTACTCACATGGTAAGCTGTATACGCACTCACAGGAGACTAGGGTCTTTGCTACAGGGTGCATCCGCAATAGCTGTTCACTGAGAAGACTTGTGCTTGGGCAGTGTGCCTCTGCGAGGCACTACCTGGACTGTAGTTCGTGGCTACTAGCATTGGCCTTCCCTTGGTTGTGAATGTCTGTTCTCTACTCTTCCTTAATATATTTTTTTCCTCCTCAGATCCTGACAGCTCCAAACAGTTCAAGTGCTAAACGAATGGCAAAGCTATGGCGGCGCATTAGTCATGCTACTTTTCAACGGAGAAGCTCGCAGAGCTGGTGGAGTTTCGCCGGTGGTTTGACGAAGATAGCTTCTGCATTCGCGGCCAATTTGTAACTTGGAGTGAAAATTATTAATGTAAACCACTTGATATATTCGTTTCTTTAGGAGGTGGCACATGCACATGTGCCATCTCCTAAGTCCAGCCGGCCGGCGAAGGAGCTAACTAATGTGGTTTAAACTCGATTTCTGTTTAGGTGTGTGGGCCATATGGCGATATTTGCCAGCAACGGAAACTCTGGGTGGTCTGGGAATACTGTATGCAGCAATCTATAGTAGATGCGTATATGAAGTCTCGATGGAGAGGTTACTGCCACCACCACCGAACGCCTTAAAGGGGTGGCAGGACTATGTACGTTTTCCTTGCGTCGTTCTGGTGTAAAGCGACACACCTCTAGCGGTGGAGAAGCAAGTCGAGCTTTACTATATAAAAGAACTGGCATCAATAAGTGCATGTGCAGCTATGAGGCACGAGCACAGTCTCCGGGTGACCGTCTGTCAATAATTGGGCGCAAGACTACCATGCTCTACGAGCTCGGCAGTGCACATCCAGGAAACGGATTCGTTTTCTTTCTTTCGCACTGCTCATGGGCCTAGGATGCGTTGGTGTTTGTTGGCTGTACTGGACGAATATTGTGTGTTAGAATCTGCCAACCGCCAGTTCGTGTACGCATTGAATGCTGCCGCACTACGTAGAGACCAAAGCCACCTAAATTCGGGCATCCTGCAGGTACGGCAGCAACCAACTGCTGCGGCCACATTCAGGAGCGAAAATCCGGCTTACGTGCTGGGGCAACACAACCCGATTGTACAAAGCTCAAGGAATTTAGCATTCCAGGAAACGAGACCCAGAATGACTATTGACTGTTCGGGGGGGTCACGGATTCAGTAATCCGCACTAGTAACACCCGACCATCAATTCTCATAGCCCTAGAGCAAACCAGATCCCATAGCGACAGAAGATGCAATTGGAATTCATGTGACTGCGACCGAAATGATCAGAAAAGAAAAACTATTCTCCAGTCTTCCTTCAGCAGGCCACCTATGGCCCGTGTGTTGGTGCGGGTGCTGAGGCATGCATTTTAACAGAACAAGTTGAGTTTCGATAGAAGCTTTTGCTCCTTTCACTCTAGGCAAGTCGTTTGAAGTTGCTGCGGCTAGCCAAAGCGGCCTTTTCAAAATTGCTGAGAAGGCTCTTGCTGGCAATCTGACCGACCTCAATATTGCCTATCCATGAAGGGGAAGGCAAAACTAGTGTGACCGGTTTGATCACATGCTTTGCAAAACACCCCCATACGCGACTCCACCATTTAACCACAACCCTGTTCGGTTAAACCGGGTATCTGCTATCCACTGCACTAAAGTGATGCTCCTGCTCAGCATGTCCTGCTGTGCCTTCTGCCTGCTGATCTTCCTGTTCTTCCGAGGGAGTCGTTGCTCCTCTCTCTTCCGATACCTGGGGCACGTAGTAGGACGAAGAAAGCCGCTCCTGCTCTTCACTTGACTCTAATGCCCACTCCTGCTGCGCCTCTATATCAGTCCGTCTAGATATCTCGATTTCGCCGGTACAGAAGTTGAGGTGACACCGCAAGGGGCAAGAAGCACGTGATCGGAACCACCTAGTGATACACACAGAATGAAATAGGTGGCCACACGGAAGGATGCGGATCAGATCTTCTGACCGGTATTCACATAGGCAGATAGAGCAAATAGCCGAGTCCAACACCCCAGGATACGGGGCAGACATGATTGACAATGTGGTGTATGCGCACTGCAGCTGAGACCACGTTTTTTCTTTGAGCTTGTGGAGTATACGAGAGGGAAGGCTGTAGTTCGCAATCGGTTCATTAACAAAGAGTACTGCCAGCTGCGCCTCCGTGGTGCAGCAGACGCAGATAAAGGCCGCGATGGTGCCTAGCAACACTACCACGTTCGGCCCGAGGAGGGAGAGGAAGCAAAGGATTATTACTGACATATAACGACACAGGAAAGGAGCGGTGCTAGTGCAGCTGCCCTCAGTGTACATAACATGCAGAGCGGCAAACATGACGCAAGAAGATGCACACGAAGCCATACGTTCCACCTGCCAACAAGCACACTTCAAGAGTTGCATAACTTCCCCCACCACTGGTCGGGACCACCACACTACTCGCAGGTCTCTTATGCGCTCAAAAATGATGCAGCAACATATGAGACGAATGAAACCAAGGGTGCACATCATCACGAGGAGTGGGAAGTAACGGGTCGTCTTAAGCTCGTCGTACAGTGCTGAATAACATAGTACGCAGAGGTGCGCAGTGGTTATCACCAAACCAAAAATGATCCAGCCTATCTTCCAATAAAATAAAGCGTCTAAAAGCAGCCTCAAACCCAAGACCCCTTGAGGAAGAGGCAACCAGCACATCCCTGGGGAAGGACAGGAGAATGTCAGATACCGACGCCGTAGGTGCGGCTCTGCCCCGGGGCACACAGTCCAAAGGGGCAGGCCCCAGAACCTCAAAAGCCTCTCCAGCATTATCGTCTTGCCCTTTGCTCTCCCCCTCTTTCTGATCCTGATGCGGTGGCCCGCTTGCTCTGCTCTCTACCGAGCCCCATTAACCGTCTTCCTTCTGTCCAACCGGATACCCAGGAGCCCAGCTGAAGAAGAATCGTCAGCAATGCTGCGGCAGCAGCGGTACCGATACCGCTGCAGCTGCGTTGCTTCGTAATGCGGCAAATTCACGTCGTTTCCAACCGACGCTAGTTGCGGGAGTGCACGTTCAGCGCAGGAGAATTCGAGGGAAAGGACTACACTCAGACCAAAAGGGGCCTGGAGAGGGGGGAGAAGGAGATGGAACTGACATAAGTAACTCTGTGAGGGGGCGAAAGGTGGTGTGCTGGTTTCAATCCTCAAATAGCCTGAATAAGATCAACGCGGTTACGGTTGGGAGGCTGGAATCGCAAAGCCGGTGCTTGCCACTGATTGTACTGTCAACACCCCAGATCCTGCATATAGGATAAACGAGCCTGCGCGTGGAAGAAGGGAGATTAGCTATCCTCTGTGCTGCCGCCTTTCAGGCCTCAACTCCAGGTCGAGTGCAACAGGCTGTGAGGATCAACGCAAAGACAGGGGACATGCGGGAACAGTAAGACTGTGAGGCACCAGAAAAGCAAACAGACGCTTCTAATAAGATTTTGGCACAAGCCACAATAACAGTCGCGCAAAGCATATTCGAAGAGGCCAGGAGCAGGGCCACTCCAGGCCCCCCAGGCGATCGAGCCTCGGGGTGGCCGGAAATCCGATTGCGTGCACTTTCCATTTTTTTGCTCCTTTCGCACCGCCATTATGCATTCTCGATAATATGAGCAACTAAGCTCTCCTGTTAAACACAGATATCCATGCCGCTGGAGAGAAATTAAGCAAAACAAACATCAGTGTTTCTTTGGGTGTACTAGACGAAGTGGAGTTACAGTTCACATCTTACATAAAAGTGAGATATAGCTATCCGACTTTGGCTTCGTATATTGAATCGTCTTCAAGTACAAAGCCATTCGTTGCATCGTCCTGATAAAATAATAATCTAGGAAGCGATGGATTGATGTCACTGGGCTGGTCGGAGCTCTCAGATGCCTCATTGGCGCCCCGTCTCTGCAGGCGTTTAGATCTATCTCTACTGCAGAAGTCTTTTTGGCAAACCCTGTTCTTGTTGAGCATATCGCCGTTCTGCACTGCCGCGACATCCTCAGTCAAAATACCGCACTTCTAGTTATTGCTATCCATTCTATGGCACTAGCTATGCCCACCTAAGAATTGATTAAGGTTTGACCGATTGCCTGGGTTATTTTTATATGCAGTCTGCTAAGGCCATGGGCTAGTGCAGTAGTATGAGAATGAATATTTTTTACTTCTGGCCTCATAGCTGCCCTGTGCAACAGAATAAAGCTCCATGTGACCGTTTCCGTATGCAGACAATTAACTCCAGATCCAATATACGCCTGATAAAAATACTTTGCCTTTCAAAAGTGGTCCCTTTCCTCCTTTTTTGTGACTTCTCCCCCCAAAGTTCCTGATGCGAGGGGAGATGGAGTGCCAGGGCGTACTTAGCTGCATCCTCTGTGTACTCCAAGCATTCACAGCTAGTTTCGCATATCATCGTGCACGAGCATACAACATTGCATCTTATTGTATCGAGCCTATATTATTCTGGAATAAACAAGTTGTACGGACAGGCAAACCGATTAGTTAACAATAAAATAGTTCTTCGTTTTATCATTTATGAAGTAGTAGAAAGTGATTAAACAAGGGTTAGCCAGCTATTAAATGGATTCGAATTTTTCGAATTCCCCCTAAATAAGGCAAAACGCTTGCTAGCTTTTCTTCCTCACTTCCTGCTGGAGCTCATTGGGCCCAGGAGTAGAATGAACCGTTCTGGGAGGAACACATATAAACTTACTGTAATCTGCTGCACTCGGTTTGAGACTAAAAATGTCTCCTCTTTGGTGCCCCTAGATGGAACATAACAGTTGAAAACGTCAAATGGTTCCATGCTGTCGCTACTCCACTCATGCACTGCCGCGTATAGGTGGCATCCTAAACTACACATTTACACTTCTCTTCCACTTGTAAGACCGCACCTAAGGTCTCCTACGGAGACTCTTAAATCCAGACTCAATTCAAACTTAGTAAAAATTTATTGCGTGTTTTGAAAGAAACCTCCCCTTTTTTCCTGCCCACGCTCATTTGGATTCCCGATATGAGGGAAAGTGGACAGCAAGGGCGCCGTAACGGCCCACTCCAAAAACCCCGCTCATTCAGAAGCGCTGTGCACAATATCCAGCACACAAGCTCACACAATTACGCCCTCCTGTATCGAGCTTTCCGTACTTGGCACTAAATAGGATATACCAACGGACTGTCCAATTAGTCGATTTTTAAACAATTCTTAGCAAAACTTTTCCAGTATCTTTGAAACTAGCTGGGTGTAGCTATGCCACGCTGCATTTTCCTCCCACATTTCGAGCACACTCTGTCAACTTTCATATCTATACGTCGAGACCATCTGTATGCATGGCAAACGAAAAGTCCCAGCCCTATTACCAGTCCCCAAGCAGGCAAAAACGCAAAATGCCAGTGCCGATGAGAAAGGAAGTAAGCTTTGGCTAGTAATGAAAGGTGGAAGCAAAAGACGACACACAATTCAGCCACCAAAGAACCAGGAATCAAAGTACTAAGATCGCAGTGACGCAACGTATCATACCTGTCGCAGCGCTGAAATGTGCGAGCCTCCTACTATGAGAGAAAAGAAGAGAGATAAATTTGTAGAGAAAATCAAGGTATACACTTGTCCAGCGAGGCCACCTCAAAGAGTAGGCTGGGCATGCCACAACAGCTGGCGCATGCAGCACAGTGGACTTCGAGTCCCCCCTAAAATGAATAAGGAAAAATCTCGAGACAACTTACCCAAGAGTGCCTCGTCATGAGTCACAGTGTAGAGAGCACCTTGGAACTAGTGACCAGGAACTATTTATACTGTGGAATGGGTATCCTCATTCGATGCGAGAGGTACTGTCCATGATGCCCATTGCAGTTAGCCAAAAAGCCACAAATCCCCCGAAAGAAAACGACGGCCCCGAAAACTCCTCCGTCAGCCATTAACGTTGGCGTCCCTCACACCATTATACCAGGATTTTTCGTCCGATATACCTTAGCCCTCACCATCCATGAACCCAGCATTTCTGGGGCTTCCTGGGAGTCCTTCGCCTCAATGCATGTCTCCTGCCCTCGCTGCATCGTCCGCAAACACTTGGGGAAATTCGACACTTCTTTAGAGGGCCAATACTGATAGCTCTACGGCACCTCCAACTTCTAACGAAGTCGATACAGCAAAAGCAACAGTGGTTCTTGACATGATGACCAATGATCCTAGCTACTTGGTCGTGAGCTTCATCGTCTGATCACATTATGCTGCGCCCGTTCGCCAAGAGCAGATCTTCAGGCCTAAACGCACAGTCAACGGCCACTTATCATTCTCTTTTGCTAATTTTTCAAAGCTTTGTGCATAAAATCACATGCTTTAACCAGCAGTTCTTTGACGCTCTCCGTTGCTAGGCGGTGGTTACTGACCTAGGACCATCAGGTCCAGGCATGGATCGATGAGATGCTTCTCAGTGTAAGCTAGGTATGATGGAGAACAAAGGGTCGGGAAGCTTACTGCTGTGTTATACGTGCGCTCAGAACAAGGAGCAGCTCATTCAATCAACTGGTTCTTTGTGAGCTCAGAGTCCAAAAAATGAGTTGAGCGCCATTGGTCTTCTCTCCTTGTCCACCTGCCTAAGAATGACCCGTAGAGGTCAAATTAGAATAAAGTTTGTAGCCGGGCATCAAAGACATGCCAGAACGCAATAGCGAACAGTGCACTTCTCTTTAGAATGATAATCCTAGGAAATCCTGGCAGCTTCCTAGAGCGCACGTATGCTGGTGGGCTAAAAGCAACGACCTGCGGGCGATGTGTAGAGATCACTATTCAATCAAACACTATATTAAGTCTAATGAATGAAAATCCATCCTTTCAACAAAATGCGCTTTCAAAAACCTCAGTTGAATAGACTGACTCTCAAACATACTCCTCTGTCTTTTTTCCACCTGCACAGCCGCATTTGGTCATTGGCTGCATATCGAACTTGTCTCCAAGATTCTATTAGATATTCGTCTGGCCACTTTTCCTTTCGACGCTTTTCCACTCATGCTTTTCCTCTTTTTAAGCTTGGGCCCTCATTGACAAGCTCATGCTATTGTAGTACTGTGCACTACTGTTAGGAACATGAGCTAAAGTAATTGAACGACTTGTCGAGCCGTGGCAGGGCTGGGGAAAAGGATGAAGCGAATAAGTTTGCGCGGTCTATAAACAGCGACGTATATGCTTACCTCACACATGAATTCCGGCAGTCCAAGAATGTTTCTATAGGAAGATCAGTCCAAGTTCTAGGATTCAGAAGTATGTGCGAAAGGTCGAGTCTAGCAGGTTTGCTGGTCTTCAGCTGCAAGGACTGGGCATCAGAGTGTTTACTACCCTTTCGGAGGGCGCCCCTCAGGGTCCAATGCTTGCTATGAGAGCTTTTACACTGTACGTTAAACTACATCATGTCCCGAAAAAGCGAGATTATGTGCTTTTTTCCAACCGGCATCTCGAAGAGAAATCAGATTGTGCGAGCGACATAGTGTGCGCTCTGTTTCAAGCCACAGTAGACTATCTCCAATGCCGTAGTTGGTAGCGGATCACCCTTTGCCACCCTAAATGGTAGCGATGACCGCGGAGGCGTAGGTGTTAGAGGATAAGTCTCATGCAATTTCGACAGCAACCGTGAAACATTACAGACAAGAGCGGCTACGCTGCATGATTATGAACAGCTGGGGCGCCGTGAAAGAGCGTTGATGCAGCTGCAGGGTGATCAAGCGCCTAAAATTTTACGCAAGATACATGCAGACTGATGGCCTTTCTAGATAATGAAATGACGCTGCGTCAGTGCTGTCGGAAA